TCCGGAGGAAAGCTTTAATGAAATACTTAAATCGCCTTTGTTGCTGAATTAAATCACGTTATTTCATATATTAATTACTAAATAAAAATCAATACATTTTAATGACCATTCGGGCCGAAATAAGGTAACCAATGCCCCTGAACATTAGTTATTAGATCTTACATTTTTGTTTTCTATTTCCAACTGGTATTTAAATAGCCTGCAAAACAATTCAATAAAAAATCGACATAGAATTTAGTAACATTCATTAAATAAATCATAAATGGTCATTTTTGATGCTTTATAATCATCTCGAGTAATTTTTGATTCGGAAAATCAGAAATTTCATTTTCTTGCGACCGTAATATTCAATTATTGTTTAAATTTTTTCTTTTATAACATTTAAAAATAATTTAAATAAACGCCAAAAAAAATATCTATGAAGGTTAACTTATAAAAAATCATCTACAACACTTCTTTTAATTCTTTCATGGAAATTACTTCATGGTCCTTTTCAAAGCGTAACCCTATGCATCTATGGAATTTAACAGTCCACAAACTCCAGGCATTTAAAAAGGCCAGACACCACCATCAACCTGTCAGAGATAGTCAAAACACTCCTGATGACTGAACTTGCAGCTTACACCAAGAAGTAAAAAGTAACTTCTTAGAAATCTCGGTGTACCAGTAAATTCTTCTTAACATATAAGTAATTAAAGTTCTTACAGCGGAATCCATAAAAATAGGTATTAATTTAAAAAGATAACCGGTAATTAAAAATGAAAGAAAAATTACAAACGCAGAAAAAAAAACATAATAAAAATCTAATTTATTAATTGGATCTTGAGAAATTAATAAATATTAACGATGTCTCGCAAAAGCATTCCAATATTTCTTATTCTCTTTTAATGCAGGATTATTCGGAAACGTTTTATTAAATTCCACATCCTTTAAAATTTTATAAAAAATAACACACCTAGTTAAATTTTAGAAAAAGTTGATAAAAATTAAAAACACGCCGTTTTTCCCTTTTTCGTCAACAATACCTAGGGGTTATTATTTTAACAACAGCATTACAATGTTATCAAAACTTTAAAAAATCATCTTTTTTATACTTAAATTTAAAAACGAAAATAAATTTTAATTTTTAAACCCATTTTCCATTTTTTAGCTAAAACAACGAAAGTAGTAAGAAAATACGCAATTTCCGGGACGTCTTTTCATTTTCCTTCTAATAGAGCCATCTATTTTTGTGTAAAGAAAAAACGGGGAAAAAGAAAACAAGAACAAAAAAAAGACTAAAACCCCGTAGAAACAGCAAGGTCTAGGGAAAGTACACAGAACTTTTTAACAAAATTCGCAATTAGGCCACTGATTAATAAATTTAGTTGCGTATTTTAGGACCACATAAAATGAAAACATTTTAAAAATGTTTTTCCACACTGAAATTTTAGCTGTATCTAGAAAAAATTTTCTAAATTAAATTTGATTTTTTTTTTTTTCTCTACTGGTTTTTTTCAGAGGGGTTAGGGTTTGCCCGGTCGTTCTTTTTTTTTTTGGTACGCCAAATACCTGGATCCTCTGATACGCAAAAGGTAGAAAATATTTTTAAGGAAATTAAAATAGATAGATGGGAGATGTGAAATCACGCCATTTTTAAAGGGCGAAAATACAAAAATAGCGCACTGTTTACCTGGTCGAAATTGCGGGTTTTTACAGTAAAAACAAGAGACATTTTTTGATACAAACCCCTTTGGGGAACAACCTAAATTAAATGTTTCACTCCCAAAAAATTTCCATTCATTACTGGCTGTAAAATAGTTTGGTATCAACTTCAAAATACTTAAAATTTCTATACGGTATATCAACTCGTCCTTCTTCATGTTTTTCGTTTAAAATCAAACGGCGACTTTGAAAAGTAACTTATAAAAAATAAAATTTCAAGATCTTTTAGATGAAAAGCAAAATTATAAATTTATCTATCAAAAACGTTTTCGATTTTATACTCTCTTAGATTTGAAAAACAGACAACAGATCGGGCCCCATGATTCTAATAATTATTTTGCTATAAATCAAATGTTTTCCTATTGAAAATGAAATCCGAAAATAAATTTCTCCTCATTGACTTTGGTCTTCATTAAACGATCTTTGCGTAAAAAATGGTGTTTTTATGCTTTCAAACATTTACTGAAATGCTTTCAAAGCTGTATTATTTCAAATGACAATTCAACATGAAAATTTATACTAAACTACGTAAATAATAATGATAATATAAGTAATACCCGAACCGTATATTAACAAAGGTTTTAAATCAAATTATACAACAGTTTTTGAAGGTTTTTTTTTTTATTTGATACCATCAATTTTTTATAAAGAATATAAATAAACAATTCATAGCAGAACACACCTAGGTTGTAATGTTGATATTGAAATTCCCTTACTTTTCCGCCTGAAGTTTGTGAGCAAGTATATGTCCCCTTTGCGTTTCATATGATGGGTACCTATGTCCGACTTTTTAGCCCAATCATCCAACTAGGGATGTCATTCGGAGTCCGGATATCCGAACGTTCGGAAACATTCGGGGTTGCTCCGGAGCCCATTTTTCTATATCCATTTCGATAAAATATTTTTAAAATATTAAGAAGATGCTGATAATTACGACTCGTGAGATAACAAAGACATGGTTTTGACACCATATTTATATTGTACCTTTATTTGACATACACATCATATCTCGCAGACCACAAAAAAAAAAATAATAAACTAAAAATTACGAGTCAATTATGACACATGTTTTTAAAAAATTTTAATTTTTTGAAATTAAAAGATGGATTTTTTAAAGCCCCGTCACTGCGGGGGAACAACGATTTAATTTCCAAAATTTAAATATTTAATTGGGTTTATTATTTTAAATATTTTTGGGGTTTACAAAACCCCTCATTTTCTTTTTTTTAAACCCAATTAAAAAAAATTTTGCAAAAATAAAATAAGCAAATAAAAAAATTTTGCTTTTTACAATTTATATTTTAATTTATCAAGTTTTTATTGAAATTATACCCAAATCCCTTTTGGGGTTTCCAATGACATCCAAATCCATCATTAATTTTATTACCGTTTTTTTTTTAAATTTTTATTTTCTTTTTTGATCCTTTTTCCCTTTCAAAGGGATTTTTTAATAAAGGACAAAACCATTTTTTAATCATTTTTAACGAAGATATTTTAAAAATTTTAAATTTAGTTATAGAAATTGGCAAAATTTTTCAATTTTCCAATTTTTAAACAGCTGAAATTTTCACTTCTAAAATAAATAATAATGACAAACGGAGCATCAAAAACCCGCTTTTTTTAAAACATGAAATATTACTACCAAATAATACCTTTAAATACATCCCCGGGAAAGACGCCTAATGGAAAAGGGTTCTGCCCTCGCAATAAAGGGAAAGGGGGGTTTAACCCGGGTGGGGGTAAAAACTAAAACTCCCTTTTTCTCATATGTTTACCATATTTTAAATAGTGTTTGGGTTAAAAAAGGGCCATAGAGTTTAAATCCCCTTTCCAAAATCCCTTTTTTTTGACCTACCCCAACCTCATAATCTTTCAAAATTAACATGCAAATTTTTCCCCCTGGTCATGAACATTTTTCCCCCACTAAGTATAAAGAACGGACAACCAATAGTTATCAAGAGACTGAGAAGGCATCACTGTGACTGACGTTAGGACAGACAGACGGACAAGTGGGTACTCAAATACGACCGAAATTACTTCCTTTAAATTTATTTGGTTCTACCGGTACCACATTTTCTAGCGAGTATGATACACAATATTTCAACATTGAAAGCAAGCCCTGTATCTTTAGTTTATGACTGTTGGGATTTTATTGGAATGAAAAATTTCTCTGTTTCAGAACATTTTCCCCTACCTATAGAATATTGAGTGCTTTGAGAGCAATGTAATCCAGTGTCAAACAAAATTAATGAGATTAAAGAATATTAATGGATGAATTGCGAATTAGGCTGAAGACAAATTAACAAAAAGTTAAATATCGCTTACACATTTTAAAATATCAGCAAATTAAAATCTGAAATGCACAGAACTTGCTAGAGAAACGTTGTATTCTGCTGAGATAGCAGATTATTGTCGCTTCCAACAAAATATTTAAGAGAAAACCTAAAACAAAGTGCATGTTTTAGGAATATAAGTGATTTTCTCACACTTAAAATAATTTTATGGAGAGGATATAATGTTGTTCTACATGTTCTAGATATATAAATTAAAAATATGTACAGTGCATAGAAACATGTCTGGTTAAACGGCCTTATTAAATAACACGTGTCATTTAAAAAAAATACAACTCAATGACAAACTTTTTTAACACAATTTTATTCAGCAACAATTCACATCTTGGTTCTCTTTTCTGAGAATATCACTATTCATGCGGCAGAAAGTGACAAAAGTAGGTATCACAAGCAAAAATATGAAGCTGCTAGTACGAACAATCTGTACTTGGTGGCGTTAATTCATACTTTCAATTTAAATGTCTTACATATGAATTTGTTACTGCAAGATATAGCAAGATCTGCCAAAAGTAGTAGTTCCAATGTACTAAGCATTGACTTTAATGACCATAAATGAGAACTTAACGAAAAAGGCTAACCAAGGGTTAACTGACGGTCAATGGCATTACAACACCTTCACTTTTTTTTACACTAATCCTTTTTGCCTCTTTTCAATAAATAAATATATTTATGTAAATAAAAATCATAGATTTGATCAATAAATAATTACATATCATCTAAGATTTAATAAATAATTAAATATCATCTAAGATTTAATAAATACTTAAATAAATATCATCACAGAGACTAGTTCAAGATCACTTTTTCGGCTTTCCTTTCCTTTTAGCAGAAAGTTCTGTTAATTTTGAATCTAACTTTCTTTGTAAATGAGCTTTCTTTGTTGCATCTGGTCTTTTTTCTGGTACCCCACTACCTCTATACAGGACACCATCTTTACTTATTCTAGTTCGGGCTTGAGCCCGTGCTGCTTCCCCACATCCATGTACCTCTGGAATATGATGCGACATACAGTATCTTCCTTGACAATGTGAACATACTTGAAAAAGTGTCTGGACACTGGTTTTGCACTTCTTGAAACAGCAAAAGTTGTCCATATTTTGAACTGTTGCAATCAAAGCGTCTATGTCATCTTTATCAACCTTTTCCACTCTTTCTGCTAGTTCTTTATCAAATTTCCGGTGCTTTGTTGACTTGGATACATCTTTCTTCTGCTTGTCTTTTACTTCCATCTCTTCCCTTTTCATTCTCATATCTTTTTCCTTCCTAGCACAATGAATTTCATGCAGTTGCAGATTTGCTTTGAGTACATCCTTTTTACAAATACCACAGACAATTTTACCATCAGAAATGGGAGCTCCTATGAATTCCTTTGCCTCATTAAAATCTTTTGCAGATATATCACCATTGTTCAAAGGTTCATCAACTAGCTCTTTATTTCCACAATTATTATTGCTATTTTTCAAAGATGCATCAAGTAGCTCTTCATTTCCACTATTATTAATGCTATCTTCAACATTCACTTCTATATTTTCTTTATTTTTCTTCTTTTTCTTTTTATTTCCTTTGCTCTTACTTTCATCAATATCCTCATCTACATGTCTGTTATCCATTTCAACAGTGTTTCTTACAGCATCTTCCTTTTCATCACTTTGAATATCTGATTCAGCCAACAATGATTTACCAGGTTTTGTTACCACAATAAATCTATCTTCTCCTATACCTTTGCTTGTATGCGCAAGACCATGCTTCTCTGCAATCTGGAGTGAAATATTGCAAACAATATCAGTCACTTTTATCCATTAAACCTCTTCAAAGAACTAATAATTGTTATCAAAATGCCTTAGCACTTGCTTTGCACAGTGCTTAAATTCCTTTTGTCACTAATAAATACATAATGTTGTAATTCAAGCTACAACAAAAGGTAAAATCAACATTTTTATTGATCTCTAAAAATCGACCAACCAGAGTTAAAGCACTTCAATGTTTTTCTTCATATCTGGTTTATTTTGCTCAATAACAATGATTTTTTCTTGTAAAACAGAGCGAACATACATGTATCGTATGAGATTTCGCAAACAAATAATTGGTTTATACCCTAATCCCAAATGTAAACAACTGTTTGAAAAATTATTTCCAGTCCCTATATGTCAGCTAAGCTCATTTAAGTATAACCCAGTCTACTAGTAACTCACGCAAGTGTAACATAAAACAAGAGCTCTTACTAGGATGTTAAAAACTATTCTCAGTGCTTAATAGTAAAACAAAAGCCAAGATAATCATTATAATGTAGAACTTTTTAAATTCAAAAGGGCCATAATTCTGTAAAAATCCACCTTAGAGTTATGGGCTTTGGATAGTGACATTCTATTAAGCTCTGAAACAAGTGTGTGAAGTTTGTACCCATTCCTTTCAGTAGTTTTTCAGTCAGATACCAACTTGCACAAAATATAACAAAAATTTGATGTTTCACTATTATTCAAATAGCCAAGCAAAAAATATATCTTTGTCATCTGGCATGACTCTGACCAATAATCTGATTTGTGAGGCAGGCAGTTTAACTGCATGGTTATATGAAATGAAATTTTAAAATATCTTATCACTTAAATAAGCAAAACTTTCAATTTCATAAGATTAATTGCATGGTTTTATGAAATGAATTTTTAAAATATCTAATCACTTAAAGAAGCAAAACTTTCAATTTCATACAATTAACTGCATGGTTATATGAAATGCAATTTTAAAATATCTAATCACTTAAAGAAGCAAAACTATCAATTTCATACAAACCTCATGGACTAGAAATCTCTCTCTCCCAGACAATGAGCTTGGAAATTCTAAAACATCTGCATGTTGATTAGAAATAAACAATTCAATTTCTTCCTCCAACTCTTTTAGCCTACTTTCATCCTCGGCCTGATTTTGTTTGCTAAAATATAAATTATTATTAAGTTATCTGTCCTTCATAACTGTTAAGCTATTTTGATAGCGAATATTTATATCCAGTTTCAGGTAGATAGCTTTGATAATTTCTCGTAAGAAAATGGACCTTTACAAATGGTTTAACTATATATATATAAAATGGCTAAATGTCTAAGTTATCTTTCTTTTTGAAATGATGTCCTTTTACATCAATAAAAATGTCTACAAAGTTTGTAATGAATATCTTTTACAGTTTCGAAAAGGTTAACCAATGCCGACGAGAAGATTATGACAATAACTTCACTTTTTTCTTTAAAAGGTAGAGCTTAGATATAATAGAACAGATTTTTAGTTAGGGGTTCAGAAGAGATAAAAAGGTGACATTCACCAAATGGCTCTAGGGGTACTATCTATTTTTTTTTCAAATGAGCAAAATTTTATATGGCTACCCATAAGGTTAATTAATTACATGCACTTTTATGACAAAAATGGTCTTACTAAAAATACAATTTCCATTTATAACTAGAAGCTAAAATAGTATCTCTTAATTCTAGAAAGGGTTAAAATAATTATAAAGAAAACCAAAAACAACATGTTTCGCTATATAAAGATATTATTTACTGCTGTAACACTCTCAAGTTTTCTAGCCTTATGCATCTCACAGTTTGAAAAATCCAATTTCAACAGAGACCCAGTTTCCACACATTTTGAACGTATTAAAAGTGTCTTGTTCACAATATATTCTTGATTAATTGCATTTACAAACCAGTCTCTAGAGAAAATATTTCTGAAGCAATATTCCTCCTAAACTTGATTAAAACGCTGTAATAAAACGTGGAATATTGATGTAAAGATGTCGTTCAATTACTAGGAATTAAAGACACATCACTTATTTACATTTCTTTTGGCCTTTACATATGTGACAACTACTAAGGTAAAAATATTTTCAAATCTCAATTTGTTTGTGTTTAAACAATGATAATAGGCTCATACCATCTTAACGGTTATGATTGAATTTTTTTCCTAAAATAGGTTAAGTAAAAATAATTTAACAACATGACTTGGAATGTTGATACATTTAAATTAAATAAATATTTGTTTATTTTATTGGATTTTATGTCACCCTGGCACTGTAAAATAGAGAAAAACATAATTCCTAAATAAAGTCCAAAAACAATGCAAAATTAAAAATGTTGCAGGCTCTGTTTGATTGAGCCTGTTCATGAATATTAAGGGCATCAGCTAACTTTCAAGGTAGAGTAAGATCTCAGGTGCCTGGTTGTGCATTATTTCAGGCCCAGGTGGCAACTGAATAGAACCCACCAACATTCTGCCTGCTCTACTCTCTAGTGGATTCTTGATTGAGTCATAACAGCAGTATGATAAATAAATGAAACATTTGTTTTGATTAGTTGTGGAATACAAACACTTAAGGTAGTACACCCCTAATGGGCACTATAAGGAACTGTAAAATTGACAACATAGGACAGTTATATGCCTTAAATGTCACCTGTATGCAAAATTTAAACAAAATTTACTGTGTGGTTTATGAGGTATGGACTTTTTTCTGAACTAAAACTTTGCCATTAGAAGGGCTTTTTTTAGAAATGAGGAAACTCTAAATAATCTATAATATCATCATTATGAAAATTGTTTTCCTATTGCTCATTGTTAAAAAACAAATAATCACATTTAGGTAACAAATTAAACAAGCAAAATTATTGTTTTTAAACAAAATGTTTTTAATATGTATAAAATTGTAACCCTACCCCACCCACTTTTAACACTTATTTGACCATTTCCATGTGTCAAAAGCCTTTTTTAAAATATTCCTAAAATTGTCCACAACGATGGGCTGTTTTCAAAGTTTGCCTAACATTTCTTAAATGTATATTGGTTGGTTTTGCAAAATATAAAATACTTTTAATGTGTAGTTTTTATTGTAAACTTTGAAAATATCTGGTATTATATTTGCTATTAAATTTGGCATTATTTAGTACATAAATACATACAAAAATTATATAATTAAAATGAAACACTTTTTACTTCCTTTAGGGATCTGAGAGATTAATAAAAAATGTTAAAAAGAAAAACAAGAGGGCCATGATGGCCCTGGATCGCTCACCTGACACAACCGCATCCAAGCAATGTCTTAAACAAGCATCATGACCAAGTTTGATGCGACTGAGTCAAACATGTGACCTCTAGTGTGTTATAAAGATTTTTCCATATTTGGGCAATGTGACCTAATTTTTGACCGGACACAACCCATATTCAAACTTGACCTAGAAATCATCAAAACAACCTTCCTGACCAATTTCCAGGAAATTTGAATCAATACTGCAGCCACTAGAGTGTTAACAAGCTTTTTCTATTCTTAGCTCCTGTGACCTAGTTTTTGACCGGACATGATCCATCTTCAAACTTGACCTAGATATCATCTAAACAACCTTCCTGACAAATTTCCAGAATATTTGGATGAAAACTGCAGCCTATAGAGTGTTAACAAGCTTTTTCTATTTTTAGCTCCTGTGACCTAGTTTTTGACCTGAGATGACCCATCTTCGAACTTGACCTAGAAATCATCAAAACAACCTTCCTGACAAATTTCCAGAATATTTGAATCAAAACTGCAGCCACTAGAGTGTTAACAAGCTTTTTCTATTCTTAGCTCCTGTGACCTAGTTTTTGACCGGAGATAACCCATCTTCGAACTTGACCTAGAAATCATCAAAACAACCTTCCTGACAAATTTCAAGAATATTTGGATGAAAACTGCAGCCCCTAATGCGTTAACAAGCTTTTCTATTTTTAGCTCCTGTGACCTAGTTTTTGACCGGAGATGACCCATCTTCCAACTTGACTTAGATATCATCAAAACAACCTTCTTGACAAATTTCCAGAATATTTAGATGAAAACTGCAGCCACTAGAGTGTAAACAAGCTTTTTCTATTTTTAGCTCCTGTGACCTAGTTTTTGACCTGAGATGACCCATCTTCGAACTTGACCTAGAAATCATCAAAACAACCTTTATGACAAATTTCCAGAATGTTTGAATGAAAACTGCAACCATTAGTGTTAACAAGCTTTTTCTATTTTTAGCTCCTGTGACCTAGTTTTTGACCAGACATGACCCATCTTCGAACTTGACCTAGAAATGATTAAAACAACCTTCCTGACAAATTTCCAGAATATTTTAATCAAAACTGCAGCCTATAGAGTGTTAACAAGCTTTTTCTATTTTTAGCTCCTGTGACCTAGTTTTTAACCGGAGATAACCCATCTTCAAACTTGACCTAAAAATCATCAAAACAACCTTCCTGACAAATTTCCAGAATATTTGGATGAAAACTGCAGTCCCTAGAGTGTTAACAAGCTTTTTCTATTTTAGCTCCAGTGACCTAGTTTTTGACCGGACATGACCCATCTTCCAACTTGGCCTAGATATCATCAAAACAACTTTCCTGACAAATTTCCAGAATATTTGGATGAAAACTGCAGCCACTAGAGTGTTACCAAGCTTTTCTATTTTTAGCTCCTGTGACCTAGTTTTTGACCGGAGATGACCCATCTTCGAACATGACCTAGATATTATCTAAGCAACTTTCCTGACAAATTTCCAGAATATTTGGATGAAAACTGCAGCCCCTAGAGTGTTAACAAGCTTTTTCTATTTTTAGCTCCTGTTACCTAGTTTTTGACCGGAGATGACCCATCTTCGAACATGATCTAGATATCATCAAAACAACCTTCCTGACAAATTTCAAGAATATTTGGATGAAAACTGCAGCCACTAGAGTGTTAACAAGCTTTTTCTATTTTAAGCTCCTGTGACCTAGTTTTTGACCGGAGATGACCCATCTTCGAACTTGACCTAGATATCATTAAAACAACCTTCCTGACAAATTCCCAGAATATTTGGATGAAAACTGCAGCCTCTAGAGTGTTAACAAGCTTTTTCTAATTTTAGCTCCTGTGACCTTGTTTTTGACCCGAGATAACCCATCTTCGAACTCGATCTGTATTTCATTGAGACAAACATTCTGACAAAGTTTGATGATGATCCAATCAAAACTGTGACTGCTAGACTGTTAACAACCCAATTATTAGAGTGTGAACAAGCTTTTTCTATTTTTAGCTCCTGTGACCTAGTTTTTGACCGGAGATGACCCATCTTCGAACTTGACCTAGATTTTAATAAAACAACCTTCCTGACAAATTTCCAGAATATTTGGATGAAAACTGCAGCCTCTAGAGTGTTAACAAGGTTTTTCTATTTTTTTAGCTCCTGTGACCTAGTTTTTGACCCGAGATAACCCATCTTCGAACTCGATCTGTATTTCATTGAGACAAACATTCTGACAAAGTTTGATGATGATCCAATCAAAACTGTGACTGCTAGACTGTTAACAACCCAATTGTTGACGATGCACGACCACGGACGCCGGACATCACTATACCTCACCTTGACCACTTCGTGGTCAGGTGAGCTAAAAAGAAAGAAACTAGAAATGTGTCATCATGCCACGGATGCCCCCGCATGCAGCCAAAATTTCAGATGTTATAATATTTAGTTCCAAATTTGTTTGCACAAATTATTGTTTTCATTTTAAGTTCAAAGCCCTTTAAACTTTTCAGTGTTAACACAAACCATTTTCATACAATATTCAAGGCACTGAAATTATTCAGTCTTAACCTTTTGAAAATAGCATATTTCATATTTGTAGCCAAAATAATGGCTATACATACATTTCCACAAAAGTATGAGTGCTGAAACAAAAAGTTCAAAAAATTTCCAATATTCAAGAAAGATCAGGTTGTCCAAAATCATTAAAACCATGACCAAATTCAAACTTAAACTGCTTATTCCTAAGACGTATCTATATTATTTTCAAAGTGAAAGGGACATAACTCTGCCAAAAAATCATCGAACCATGACCAAATTCCAACTTGACCTGCCCATTCCTTTGACATATCCATATGTCAAATTTGAGTTGAATATGTAACACTGTTGGGTAGATAATGAACAGAAACTGTAAATTTCATATTATTTTCAAAGTGAAAGGGGCATTACTCTGCCAAAAATCATTGAACCATGACCAAATTCGAAATTGGCCTGGGCATTCCAGAAACATATCCATATGTCAAATTTGAGTTGAATGTGTTGTACTGTTGGGGAGATAATGAACGGAAACTGAAAATTTCATATTATTTACAAAGAAAAAGGGGCATAACTCTGCCAAAAATCATCGAACCATGACCAAATTCGAACTTTACCTGTATTTTCTCATGACATATCCATATGTCAAATTTGAGTTGAATGTGTTGTACCGTTTGGGAGATAATGAACGGAAACTGAAAATTTCACATTATTTTCAAAGTAAAAGGGGCATAACTCTGCCAAAAATCATCGAACCATGACCAAATTCGACCTTGACCTGTATTTTCTCATGAGATATCCATATGTCAAATTTGAGTTGAATGTGTTGTACCGTTGGGGAGATAATGAACGGAAACTGAAAATTTCATATTATTTTCAAAGTAAAAGGGGCATAACTCTGCCAAAAATCATCGAACCATGACCAAATTCGAACTTGACCTGTATTTTCTCATGACATATCCATATGTCAAATTTAAGTTGAATGTGTTGTACCGTTGGGGAGATAATGAACGGAAACTGATGATGACGGAATGACAGAATGACGGAATGACGGAATGACGGAAGGACGGAACAGGGTAACACTATATGCCCCGGCCATTACATGGCGGGGGCATAAAAAAGTTGCCCCTTCTGGGGTTTGAACCCATGCCCCTCCGTTTCAATACACTTTACAGTGATTCTAGCCTATTTGAGTACTCTTCAAAGTGGAGATAGTGCATTAGGGGTGTACTACCTTAAGAGTCTTTCTCCAAACTACAACACAGGAAGAACATTCTAGTGACGGTTCTTTTTAAATGGAAACATCACTATATTTAAAATTTTATATTTGACCTTAACAGCTAAGACATTCACAGATCTAGGTCATACTTCAATCATTCCACATGTGGTTTAGTCACTTTATTGTTTTTCTATTAAAATATCAGTGTATTGTATCAAACATATGTCAATTAATAACAATCTTATCTCAATTTAAGCAAACTTCACCTTCATGGCCTTTTGCAGTCAAAGACTTAACTTAAATATTTCAACATGCCTATTTAGTCATAGCTATACATGAATAACTGTTTTGTTCAAGTATAAGTCAAATTATAAGATAAATAAACAAAGTTTTAGCAATTTATCTTTATTTAATATGTTAACCTTTATGATCAGGGCCTACATTATTCATCATGTTGGTTTTTTATATACACTTGTACAAGATAATGTTGCTGTATTCAAGTATGAATCAAATCCATAAACAAATAGCAACGGACATGTATGACCAATTTTAGCAAAATGAAAACGTAAATGTTAGGTCAATGCCATTTATGAGTCAAGTCAACTTCTGTATGGCCTACCCATGGCTATGTCCAAAGGTTGTGGTGTAGTTGAAAAAAATAAGCAGGCACAAAAAACCGTTGAGACAATACATATAAGTTTTTCTTTTTCTTCTGACTCATAAGACAGCCTGGTGTAATAATGTCACAACAAATGTCTTGGCAACATTTCTGAGCACAATAAAAATCAGAGTCTGTTTTGGTTTGAAATCGATATAAACTGTTCATATCAGACAGGGAACACGAATCATATTTTCAAATTAAAGCAATTTAAGGGTCATTGCTTATATATTAACTTAAACAATTTGGAAGGGTTTCAGGCTGTTCAGAGAAAACGTGCCTATAAATATTGTGTGACATGATAAAATTATGAGAAGATTGTATTTATAGTCTACAGATTATGTAGATAATGTAAATATTTAAAGTAGAAATTTGATCAATATGTACTGTACAAGGACAACAGATTTGGCTGATATGACTAGGCAGGAAAATGGATAGAACCAGCAATGTAAGCAGACGTTTGGAAATGTAAGGTTTCAACAATTATTAAATATGTATCTTAGCTATTATTTTACATTGAATTTTATTTTCTTTGATTGTTAGATTTTTCAGTCACATATTTTTCATAATTAAGATTATATGAGTGTTTTTAATGAACAGTATTTCAAGCTAAAGCTAGCTCCAGAACAGAACTACTTTCTTGAAAGTAGCTAGCAAAATATTTTTACAGTTGCACATTAAAGATTGCTACATTTCTTGCATAGTTGAAACCCAAAGCTGGATGGAATTTAAAATCATACAAGTGGAATAACAGGCAGATTAAACAATTGTCAATTTAAACAATTTTCTTGCATAAAAACTGTGCACACAAGTATACATAAACTAAGAAATAAACAGGAATTAACAGATAAAACCACACAAGCGCAACCCAAGGCACCATGTAAGACAGCTTAATGCAATGATGGCCCTGGTAGTTTCATTATCAAAACATAACTGTCAGATGACATTGAACTTGCATATGAAAAACATTACCAAACCTGTTTCTTTATTCCTTAACAAAATAATGGCATGCAGAACATATACTTTTATCCAAGAATAGCACTAATGCACCATTTGTTCCTGTATAAGCATCTGCAGAAACACTCAGACTTATTAAATCCCTCGCTCTGTATACTTTGGCTTCAAATACATCCTTGTGCTTCTGCAAATGTTAATACACAAACAAATGTTCTTTTAACTACAAAAGTGCTTCTGTTTAAAAAAGCAGTCTAGAAGAATCATAAAAATATTACCTGAATTTTTTATTAGCTTCATGTGGGTGAAATTCTTTTTTATTTCTATCAGAGTGCTGTTTAGGATTTGTTTGTTGTTTATGTGACTTTGGCCTGGCCCCTTTATCTGAGCCCTGCTTCTTTGAAAGTGCCATTAGATCATCAAGATGCTCTGGTCTGCTTACATCACATTGCTGTAATACCCCATCTAAAATAAAGGGGAATAACTTTATCTAAAACAAAGGGGAAAAACTTTGTATTAAATAGAGGGGAAAATTATTAAATTTAAGGGTCTAAAAAAGTACTTTCTTTCTTATTAATGTACATATTTAACAGTTATTTACAAGGTCTTAAAGGGACTCCACTGAGGTTTAAAAGCATAAAAACATAACATTTAAATTTCTTACATAAATGAGCTGGGGCACTTTAAACAGAAATATACATAAAGATAGTTAAGAAATATACTTTGAAATAAATTAAAAATCATATTTTTAATGCTTTTCTTAGCCCGATTTGAGTGAAAAGCTTTTAAACGCTTTTAAGTTTTGGTCATTTTTGGAAATTTGAATAATTATTCTGGAAAAAAGAAGTGCGCGAATAATCTGAAATTTTGCACAAAGATAAGTGGTCTAAACCCTTCATCAAATGGTACATTTATCTGGAAAAAATATTTTCAGTCCCATTATGTCAAAAAACCTCAGTGGGGTCCCTTTAACGCCCAATAATCTTCCAATTATTTATATTGTCAACACTTCAGACTGAGAGTGTTTTTGTAAAACTAAACAATTTTTTTTCTGAAATGCCTTCAAATATAAGTAATTTCTTTCTCTGAAAATTTGATACTGAAAAAACTATAACTGTTGATGAAAAGTATAAGGATTCCAGTTCTGAAAGAAAAACAGGAACAGTCAATTACATTGTTCTTTATTTGTTTTGTAGGATTTTAAGCAAACTAATACAGCAAAGATTAGATGGAACAAGGAGACTTTCCAGCATTACTGGTGGAAAAAGACAGCTGGTGCCCCCTTCATGAATTATTTTAGGCACTTGTTGGTACCTTAGTAGAATCATTTTCCATTGACCTTTTGTATGCTACCTAGATAGTCTACTCTCATGAAAGAATGAGCATACAAAGTCCCTGAATTAAGGGTTTCAAACCCAGAGTGGTGATGAGCAAATTATATGTTAGACATCAAACTTTAACACTCAGCAACACAGGAAAATTACTTTGAAGATGAAATTTGGGAAATCTGCTCAATGAAATGCACCTGTCAAATGCAAGTCCATAATACCTTTTCTGGTTGGGATTTACATCACACCAACACTGTAAAGGTCATATGACGACTTTTTAGCTTTACTGGGAGGAAGACATCAGATGCCCTTCAGTGCATTATTTCAGGCACAAGCAAGCCCCTGAATAGAACCACAAACATTCCATAAGCTAGATTTCTAACATGGAAGTATCCAAATTCCCTTGTGGGATTCAAACCGACAGTGATGATTGACTAGTGCTTTTAAGGTCAACAACTTTAACCACTTGGCCACTCCTCCAATAATATTTACTATCTGAGAGGTGTATGTTGCTGCTTCAATTACCCGCTTCATATTTCTTCATAATCTTAAATTATGCTGATACCTTTAAAGCTGATTTAAAGTATAACAGTAGTTGCACTGTTTGCTCAATTTTACATACCATCCAAATACTGCTGTGCTGTCTGTACTTCTGCCTCTTGATTAAGATATTCTATCAATGTGCAAAGGAAATTGTCCTTGCATACTGTCTCACTGTCGCCAATAACTGCTAAATGGCGCCTGGCTCGAGTTACAGCAACATTGATTCTTCGTCTCTCAGACAGGAAACCAACCTCACCTATAAATAGACATGACATCATTATTTAGACCATTGATCAAAACATAATGTAAACAAAATTATAAGAATTTCATTGAGGTCCAAAAGCCTAAAATTAAAATTTCTAACATAATAGTTATATCAGCTGGGGCACTATGAAATCAGGGGAACAGAGGAATACATTTTTTTTTTAGTCTTATGGACCTCAGTTTTGTTTGTTTGTTTCCCGGGAATAGCTCCTTTAACTAAATACTGAGAAAATATTCTGCAAAATTTGAGAAAATTATGTCTAAAAGTTTGCAATGGCAAGACATATAAGTACTAGAACAATAAAAACTAACCTCTTGTATTACTCCTAACAAGGGAGATAATAACAGCTTCCTTCTCTCTGCCTTGAAATCCATCCACAGATTTAACCTCTATCTTTGGGTATTTACTGGCAAGTCTCAGCCTAACAAGTTCTACCTGAATACAATGAAGAAATGCTTATAAAAAAATCAACTTTCAGGCTTTATCAGAAAGTTTTTACAAGTTGAGAATTATTTACTTTTTGGTAACCTTTTTTATAACACATTAAGTAATATCAATACCATTAAACTGTCATTGGATCAAACAAATTCTGCCAAACTGGTTTTATTAACAATGGATATTTTTTATTATTCCCAATTTAATTTACTTGGAAAACCATCAATATCCTGAATAACTATGTATGCTTGAAATCTTGAAATATTCAAACAAACATCATATAGTCAATACTTATGATATCATAATTATGATGACCAGCTCAGTTTAGATATTGCACTATAATGATATTATCAACAGTAAAATATAGGTTTAACAATCTGTACATCTTTTTTAATAAATATATTAATTGAAACTTTAATCGTTTTTTTTAACAACAAGAGCTGTCGGTAGGACAGCACGCTCGACTATTCTAAGTGCTTGATAGTAAAAGAGCCTTGATAATGTTAAATTTTTTAAGTTCACAAAAGGGCTAATTTTTTTTTATAAATTCATGTTATAGGCCTTAGAGAGAGTCTAATTATACAGTATTGGCTTGACTATTCGGAAGGTAATGTCACAAGGGTGTTTTATTGAGTATAACAATACTAATTACCTATGAATACATAAATTTGACAGAAAAGGTAGAAAGGCTTGTTATTAAAATGTTTTATCAAGTAAATCACTGCTTTATTATTATGAACGCATAAAATTGTCCCAAAAAAGGTACAAACCCTTCAGTAGTTACTGAGATAACAGCTTACAAGCAAAACTTTACCATGAATTTCTAAGTTGAAAAAGGGGAGAAAAATCAGCCTAAATGCAAGATAGAATTATGGATCTTTGTCAGTGACCTACAATTATGACCCTAAATGCATATGTGAAGTTTTAAATAAATATCTTTAATAGTTATTGAGATATGTAAAACTTGCATGTAAACATTAACCAAGAGACTAAGTAGAAAAGGGGATATGAATCAGCCTTAATGCAAGATAGAATTATGGAACTTGGTCAGTGACATTCAATTATGACCCTCCAATTATGATCCTAAGTGCATGTGTTAAGTTTCAAGTAAATATCTTTGAAGACCTTTAACCTTTTACCAAATTTCTAAGTTTCAAAGGGGCAAATAATTCTGCAAATATTGCAGGCAGAGTTATGCAATTTTGCAAACTGATGTACATTATGTTACTATAAAAAAGTATTTTAAATTTCAATTGAATATCTCATAAATGACTTTACAAAAAAACTTTAACCAAAATTTCTAAGTTCCAAGGGGGCATAATTCTGTCAATATTGTAGGCAGAGTTATCCAACTTGTCAATCTGATGTACCTTGTTACTATAAATAAGTATTGTAAGTTTCAACTGAATATCTCAAGCAATAATTGAGATATTTGACTTTGCAAAAAACTTTAACCAAAGTTTCTAAGTTAAAAAGGGGCATAATTCTGTCAATATTGTAGGCAGAGTTATCCAACTTGTCAATCTGATGTACCTTGTTACTATAAATAAGTATTGTAAGTTTCAATTGAATATCTCGAGCAATAATTGAGATATTTGACTTTAGAAAAAACTTTTACCAAAATTTCTAAGTTAAAAAGGGGCATAATTCTGTCAATATTATAGGCAGAGTTATCCAACTTGTCAATCTGATGTACCTTGTTACTATAAATAAGTATTGTAAGTTTCAATTGAATATCTCAAGTAATAATTGAGATATTTGACTTTACAAAAAACTTTAACCAACGCAGACGCCGACGCGGACGCTGACGCTGACGCCGGGGCGACTACAATAGCTCTCATATTCTTCGAATAGTCGAGCTAAAAACAGGACAGTAGGTCCATCTTGTGTCAGACATTTTCAGTACAATTTTGTTATTCACATATCTGAATAAAACATAGGACCTCTCAACTAACCAGGTAGACTACTCAACAAACTAAAGAAACCAAATCAACATCAGACAATAATAGAAAGAAATCAAATTCTATAACTGGAATACCTGAAGGTTGTAAGGGGCAATAACTGCAATATCTTCCTGCTGTACACCACAAGCCAACAACTTCTCAACATGCACAGCAACAATATCTGCCTCACCTGTCCAAAATAAATATCAACTATTGAATCAAATCTTGTATGTTTTGATTTATTTAGTTAGCTTGATTATTTAAGCCAATTGTAGGATTTTTTAGTCAAATTTAAGCAGTAAAGCCAAAATGTTACTACTTAAAGTTTTAGAAATAATTTAAAAAGCACAATATGCCTCAGATATCCATACTGTTTAATTCGTTGGAAATGTCAAACATGTGTTTTATGATGTTTTAATAAAAACGTCTAAAAACTGAGAAAATAACGCTGAACATGCAGTAATGTGTCATAAAGGTAAACAAAGTACTTCCATGCAAAATACTAATTCACTATAATAATTCTAATTGCCAAAAGACTTAAAGATTAGGTAAAAGATGGTTCTTCTGTATGGCAAATGAGAAGTTTTGGACTTGTAAAAAGATACAAAAAAAGAAAATGTGGAGAAATAAAATTAATAAGGCATTTCTGAGGCATAGTGGGCCTTTAAACAATTTCTGTTACTATCTTTTATAAAATTATGTGGCATTCATTTTCCACAACTTCAATACTTTAGTCATGAGATATTGTTATATATATTCTATGCTGATGAAGAGTCTTATGTGTTTCAAACTGGTAGATAATTAATTAAATTTTTACACTTTCTCTCCGCTGATGTGAATTTCTGTTATTTTATCTTCTATTTTAATTTTTTGCATGTTGTTAATTTGGCATACAATTTCGTGATGTATTTTTAGACATGTACACTATTCATATGTCATATTCTATATAACAACAAGCTTTCAAAATTGCTTTTTTCTCCCTACTGTTAACATCAGAGACAATATTGTCATCTTAGTGCAGTAATGGGTTAAGTCCTTCTAAATTTAACCAGAGTTAACCAGTAATTGCACTAAGGCAACAATTTCTGCTACAGAAATATTTCTCTGCGAAAATGCCAAACTGCTGCCTTAAATCCTTTCCCTGATAAATTAAATGGAAGTTTGACAAGTTATTGTGTTTAGATTGTTTTAACAAAACATAAATCAAGCGTGTTCACTTAAACTTTCAACAATTTGTTTTCTCTCGTTCTCTCTATTTTGAGTACTAGATGTAGTAAACAATGATGATTTCAAAAATCAATAGGTTTATTTCTTATTTTATTATGTTTTAGGAACATTCTGCATTATTTTCATGGCCATGTTCCAAACCAGTATCAGCAAAGTTAAAGCATTATATACATAAGCACAAATCATGGTATTATTAGATACTGTATGGTGAGACTCTAGAAAAGTGAGCAATCTTGTGAATTAGTAGTTAAGGCCAGTACCAGTAATTTCATATTTTTGCCGTATTTCAAAAAAAGACAAACTGTCAAGCAACAAATAATAAAGACATAACTTACAATTTCCAACTAAATACATGTACATAATGTACTATACTTTAAATATTCAGCTATCATTCCAGTTATCATTCAGAAGATATTTTTCAGACCATTTCAGACAAAAATTATGTCAAGTATCAATCTAACTTTATTTATTTTCAGCCTTATCAGCCAGTAATAAGCACAACCATTAAACATCTAGGAGTAAACTTAAAAGAGAGACTCTTGCTACAACTATTAAATAAAGTGTTTTTTTCCTGGAAAAATAAAAACTTTTTAAATTGATTGGCTGATGAGAAGAAATGATGCGAAATAGGTCACAGGATTGCTTCCAGACAAAAATTATAGCTTGTAAGGTCTTTATATCTGAAGGGTGTTATTTTACAAAAAGTACCTTCATTTCCTTTAGAGATTTCCTCGGGCAAATCAAGTTCCTGTAGGTCACAACCAGCAGTGTCTATGTACAATAATGGTAGCAAGCTAGTCTCTTTTTCAGTAATACCTGGCAAATCCCTGTATGAGGAAAAAAATCAAAGTACTGTAGGTGCTCTCATAATAAGAATGTCAATGTATTAAGAAGTTTCAGATCTCAAATATAATAAAACATGAGGGTACTTGTTTATTAACTATATTAAGTACATGAAGGTATTTATTTACTAACCATATTAAGTACATGAGAGTACCTATCCTCCATCTTTTCATTTCTTGCATGCATACCAGTAAAGTACATTCTTCCCCAATAAATTTCTAGTCTTTGTTACCTTTGACCTTGGCCCCCACCGCCAAACATATCAGAGATACCCTATCTATTTAAATTAAACTAATTACCTCAGCAAATGATGTTTCACAGAATCATGAGCAATCAATTTGGACTCGTACAATTCTTTTGATGACCACTGCATGATCTTCTCATTCATCCTGTATTGTGTTGTCAACATTCTCATGACCTTGTCACCATGAAGGTCAAGAACACGTTCCATCAAGGTCACAGCAAGACCTCCTTTAGCGGCTCTACAACAATGATATATGCAATAAATGTAAATAACAAATATTTATATGAAAAAATGAGACTCAAAATTAGTCATACCTTAATACACAAACAAACTTCATTTTGAAAGCAACTCATAAGAGCTTGAGTAAAAATTTTATTGAACTGAAGCAATTACCCCATAACTTTTAAATTGTTTTAGGTTGGGTTTTATGTCATACCAACACAGTAGAGGACTGTAATTCTATAAACTGGCTGAATATATAGTTAGCTCACATGAAAGAATACAAAGTCTCTTGCAGGATTTAAATCCACAGTGGAGTGCAGGATTTAAATCCACAGTGGAGAGGGGCAAGTGGTCTGAATTCAAAGACCTTAACCACTAGGCCCCTAAATTGGCCCATCATAAAAACAGTTACATCTACCCTTAACTCATCAAACTTTATCATTGAAACAATAATTGCTAACCATTACCACATAATTATTTTTCCTCCTTTATACAATGGTGGGTCAGAAATAATTTAATTAGAAATGTATTCATGGGACACAGAAACCACCTCATTCAACTGCTTTGACAGTCTAAAGATGGAGAGCATGACAGCAAAACAGTGTGACAGACAGACAGCAAAACAGTGTGACAGACCTAAATGGGGGCACACAAATTCAAGATTTCAGAATAACCATATTTCATTTTATTGAGCAACATCAAATATAACTTACTCATTTGAGAGTATAGTAGGAGGTAACTGTAGATGGTCCCCAGCTAGAATACATTTCTTTGTTCTTAAAAGCGGGATCCAGCAGGCTGCTTCCATAGCTTGTGACACTTCATCAATAATTGTCACATCAAAATGACTTTCTTCCAGCAATTTCATTGGTCCATCATCTGTAGCACTAGTTAGGGTGACCAATACAACATCTGCTCGTTTCAGAATGTCTCTAGTGGCAGCGTCCGCACGCTGGCGTAACTCTTTACGCAAAGATTTCATCTCTTCCCTAAGTTTCTGTTTTTCACCTTTATTTCTAGCTTTCTTCAGTCCTGACTAAAATATTATAAAATGAATAATGATTAAAATGTGAAAAAATAGTGATAGGTCATTTAAACATGTTTTTGACAATGGTCATCATTTAATTTACTGTATGTGCTTTTTAAAGATTTTACTTATGTATATTTCTGGCAATTTTAGATATTCTTCTCATAAGTATTTAAATATAATTTGAATACTGTGAATATTTTTCACTAATTACTGAAAAGAATATAATAAAAATCAATAAATTAATTATCACACAGCATATTTCAAACACATGAAGGAAGTTACTCAAACATTGAAGTCAATATTGACTGATCAAAGTTCTTTCCCCTTTTTGGTTGTCAATGCACATTAATTTATTATATTATCAGCTTTTGTGTAATTAAATCAGTTATCTTTTATAAATCATTCTAATTACAACATGAATCTGAGATCCAGTTATTAATAGAAAAACCAATTTCAAGTTTGTGTATGAAACCTACCAATCAGAAACTTAAATTTTGCCGTCAGGCCACGGCGAGCCCGTATTACGTTACGATTTTACTGAGAAACAACCTAAAACTCCGAATCCATCCAAAAATTTAATCGAAGCTTGGCTTCCAGCTTTCTACAAAATTTATCTGTCATGGCTTGAATCCAAAATTAGTTAGCCAATCAAATTTAATCTTACATAGCGTCAAAAAACCTTCAATTTTCACGCCATTTTTAAAAAGCAGCAAGTATTGCTTTGAGCGCAAAGATATAATGATGATTAAAATGTTTGTTTTCATGAATTTTTTTCAATAAATCATATTTACACTGACTTTTGATTTAGCAATTTCACCTGTTTTCTCTGTAGTTAGTTTTCGTTTGGTTAATTAACATAAGTGTACATCTGGTTCTGTGCATTTTTTTCTTTTTCTTTTTTTCCGGTCATTTTATCCTTTCCGGTATTTAGGGTGGAGGAAAAAAACCCGGGATCTGGGACGCCCGGGATCCGGGATAGTATTAGATATATAGGGAATGGAATAAACTAAATTTGTGTTGATTATTGTTGTTGAATCTTTGTACAGGAGATGATCATTATACCAAGCCCTCTTACAATATAATTCCCTTTTCATGTTTTATGCTCACTATGAGCAAGTTGTGCTCTGGTGAGCATAAACAGGAATTGGGATCCCTATTCATCTGTTGTCCCTAATGTGTAATTTAGTTTCTCTTTAAATTATATCTATGAAACCAAAGACTGCACATTAACCACACTACAGGAGTCCTCTTTCATAGTTGTTCATATTGTTCTACACATAGGTCAAGGACTCGTCTTATATAAAAACACATACGCACACTTTATACCTTATTAATGCCTAAACCTTAAATTTTTGGCATGTGGTATTGCCTTGTTGACCACTTTAAAATTTTGTTCATGTATCTACATCATATCCATTTGTTTAAAATGTTTCACATACCAAGATGAAGTGGACATAATTCTTATTAAAATGCTTAGGGAAAATATGTTTAAGTCTTATTGATATAAACTTCAATGCCTCCAGCTTTAATATTGAATATGTACCAATGCCTTGAGAACTTGTACAAATCAAATGTTAAACATGCCCCATGAATCTAAATTCGCCCACACCCAAGAGAAATCTTCAGTAATATATTCCTGTATAGGACTTGTGTCTGTCACTCATTCCAGCTTCGGCGCGGACGCCAATAACATATTACAACTTAACTTCGTATAAAGAGACATCTTTATGAATTCTACCTATCTAACATTTTTTGGTCAAGGTCAACAGGCCATATAGTAAATGTGCATAGACATAGGGACTTCATTCTATCTGTTTACATACATCTTCATATATACTCATATTCCTCTTTGTTAAACTGAGAGAACTGGATTCCATTACTTTATATGTCACTTTTATTTTGATGTTCGCTGAAGTCTCTTCAGCTAACAGAACTGTCATTTTTACATTTCAACACACCCCTGGAAAAAAATTACGAAGCGAGTCGCTACTAGCTTTTTAAAAGCTAACCTTGTCAAACTTAGACTGGACACAAATTTCCATCTTAAATAATCTTTGACCCAAATGAAATAATCTTTAACCCAAAATGAAATAATCTTTTACCCAAATGAAATAATCTTTAACCCAAATGAAATAATCTTTGACCCAAATGAAACAATCTTTGACCCAAATGAAAATTTGAAAATTGCATACCAAAGTTTTATCAAGATCTTTCCTCACATCCTCTACTAGTTTGGTCTCATCACTCGTAGACAGGATAGCATCCAGTGAATATTTCTGTATGTGTGGTAACAATCTGGCGGGATGACCTAGACGTACGATTTTATGTTTACTCCGAGCGAGTCTCTCTACAAGATTATCTACAGCAATGTTTGATGGTGCACAGGCTAATATCTGTAAATAGATAATTATATTTACATAAAATTTGTTTGTTTTATGTGATCATTCTTCGCTTGAGCTAGGAGGGCCCGTGCAAATTTCTTAGAGAGATTGATAGTTCATGCAACCCGAAGTTAAAGTATTATCCTGTATTTATATGATCATATTTTAGGTAGGACATAGGCCTTAAGGTTTTCCAGTTTACATTGGTTGAATGATAAATACGTCAACATAATTGTTTGTTTGTACATCAGCTTGTTGAATAGGTCATTTCTTTTAAATATTATGATTTAATTGTCATAAAAATATATACCAGTGTTTACAAATGATTATTAATAGTACTGTGTTAATCTATATTCATGCATATTGTAATTGGCTGCCTTTGATTGGGCACTTGTTGAATAATATTCACAACATATTTGAATAATATTCAAACATATTTGAATAATGTTCAAAATATATTTGAATATTGTTCAAAATATATTTATATGTTTATTACGGGATAAATATCATTTCAAAGAGTGAATTTATAAAAGATTAAAAAATCATTTTACAGCAGAACCTTTTTGTAGTAAACGCGTATAAGTGTCATTCTATAGATAGATAATCAACAACACCTTACATGAACCACGTCTGTAATTAAAGCCGTGCATGAATATTAACCGGCTGGATTGACTTCTGCTTATTTCACTTATTTTGCAAGGTATATTCTTTGTATCATTACTAAAGACAGAATAAATAAACAATATTATGCTTAACAAACAAATTGGTTTCAACACCTCTAATTTTGTATCAATTAACATTAATTGCCTTTATCACAAGGTGTTAAAAACAGACAACAAAAATTATTCAAAATTTAATTTCATTGTGTACGAACCTTATTTCCATGTTTAACAGCCTGTAGTATAATCTCAATAACTGTCGTAGTTTTCCCTGTACCTGGTGGCCCGTGAACCACTGCTAACTCTTTCTGTGCCAGAGCAAACTGGACGGCATCTTGTTGCGATTCATCTAGATTCTCATTTATAAACTTCAAGTCTGGAAAAAAGGTAATATCTGTTAGCATATTGTTTAAATGTATGATGTGAACATTACATTTTGCTCTTTCAAGTTTTGGTACCCATTTTGTTTAGTCAAGTCCTGGTACCCATTTTGTTTTGTCAAGTTCTGGTACCCATTTTGTTTAGTCAAGTCCTGGTACCCATTTTGTTTTGTCATGTCCTGGTACTCAGGCATTTACACAAAAAAAATTATGAGATTCAGTCTTAGTACATTTGTATCAGTATTAACGCATTCTTCTGCAAATATCTGCAACAGTAAATAGTTATATTAGTAATCGAGGATTAAATGATTGCATAGAATTATTCACAATCCTTGTGATGTTTTACATGTAATAACAAAAAAAATAAAAAATTTATGCTCTTTATCACTAGATTTTTACTGGTGGAGAAATGGCTTGTTTTGCATACCTTAAAACTTTTCACTAATTGGCCTGAACTGTATGTGTCTCATGCATTCTTAATGTACTTTTTTTGTTCAATCTATCTACCTATTTAAAACAAATACCCAAATTTATGTTCATACAAATCACCCTGAATCTACAGGTGTTGTTTTACAGTAAAGAATAAATAATCATTTAAACTACATGTGATTATTCCATTTAAAAGTACTAGTTTAATGAACACTTTATGTTTGGCATAAACATTTACCTTGTATATTGTTTGGAGGCGAGAGGGGCTGTTCATCAAAAAGCACAGACACCAAGTTTGCACACTCCCCATGCTGAACCTTTGACAGATTTCCTAGAGTTCTAAATTTAAAAAAAAAAATTGAATAAATTAATTGCAATTTTATGCATTTGATCATGTTTTTTACATGTATGTATAGTTAGACGAACTTTGCCAAGTAGACTACCTTGGTATTTAGACTAGCCTGGTTCTATACGTCTGACGACATGGGCAAAACACTGATTTTAGAACAATTTCTAAAAGGTATAAAAGAAATCAAACAAAGAATAGACAGAATCTAAGAAGAAATGATTAAATGACATCAATTTGTATCTTTCCTTATTTTGCTTGCCAATGTTGTGAAACCCCTTTGAGTTACCTTTTTCTGGGTATTCTGTAATACAGCAGTTGCCAATTTAAGAGATTTATTTGTTTTTTTTGGATGTTAAATAGAGAACATCAGAATCCCTAAAGAACACACAAAATGACAAAAAAGACAATGTTGCAGACTCGGCTTGATTGAACCTGTTCATGGATGGTAATGGAAAGTGCAAGTTATCATCACGGCACCCTAGCACATGCCTGGTGAAGAGCCGATATGTGACCTGAGTTTTTAATGTCCCATCCTCATGACCAATAGTACTGAAAGTCCTAGGGCGGACATCAATCCTGCAAAACCTTGATAACTAGTCAAACATTAAACCACTGGATCAAAAGATCTGCTCCTAAAATATGTCCCTCACCTCTTTAGCCTTTTATAAGTGACATCATTAGCCAGTTTTGTTAGTTTGTAATAAACACTAGGCCCATCATCCAATGAAAAGAGGTCTTGTGACTCATCAAATGCTACACTGACAGCTGATTGGCTAACTTTAGTCACAAGACCTGATCCAAGGCTGTCTGATTGGTTGTCTCCCTGTGATGTGTTTAAACCAATGATATCACCTAGAAATATAAAATGTTCTTGTTCAGCTTATTAGACGAATGTAATCAAACTGGAATTTTTAGTGTTTTGCATGATTACAAAAAGTACAAATGATCATAATAGCACAACTTTTTCTTCAAAACAGAGGATCTAACAAGTTAAAAAGGGGCATTACTAAAAAAGTATTAGCTTCATAATTATGACCTTTAACTACCAATTGCAGCTTGTCTTGATATGCAAGTATTCTAAGTTTCTTGTTGATAACTTTTAAAATGGGCTATATAAAATTTATGACTACAGCGATCATTATAGCTCAACTTTTTCTTTGAAACAAACAAGCTTTAGTTGTATTTACTTACCTGGTGAGAAGCTGTGGGAAGGAAGGGCTTCAAGATGGGTCTCAAAACTGATGATAACTCTGCCAAACAGGCCTGTCTTCCTACTGCTTATATGTAGCTTCAACAGGCACACACCTCTACGCTGAAGCTCTTTTGATGGTAACTTCTCTGTCAATGACCTATACAGACATGAATATAAAAACTAATGTTAGTTTACTTAATATTAATTATGTATGTCCAGAGGTTTTTTTGTTGTTTTTTTCCCAAAGATAGGGGAAGAAGCCCATCCCGTTGATCTGGGGGGATTTTTTTTTTTAATCAGATTGGGTTTTAAGTCGCACCAACACAATATAGGTCATGGTGATGTTCAGCTTAACTGGTGGAGGAAAACCTCATGTCCCCTTACATGCATATTTTCAGACACAAACAGGCACCTGAGTAGAACCACCGATGTTTCGTATTCTTGCTGGATAGCTTCCTCCCATGATATAATCCAAAGTCCCTGTCGGAATTTGAACCCAAAGCATTGAGGGGCAAGTGGTTTGAAACCACTTAGCCACATGCAGACTCCCCGTCTAAAGAAATTAGCACAGTTATTTTGAAAAATGAGAAGAAAAAACTTGATGTTGTGACCAGAAAATGTTTAATTTTGCTGTATCTTCTTTATTTGAATGACTCTTAAACATACTGGTTTTAATAATATGCAGGACTTCCATTAGTGGAAGTTTGTGAGTAATTTACACCTTAGTTTTGGCTTGCGACTTCCAGAATATCATACTTTTCCTTCTTTACCTTATAATGTGACTTCCAATGTTAGATACGTTGAAGGCTCTGTCTTCCAATTTTGAAACTTAATGGAAGCCCTGTATATGGTTAAATAAAGTACATGTAACTTTACACGTATTTTATCGATCAAAAAAAGAAACAAGAGGGCCATGATGGCCCTGAGGTCGCTCACCTGTATATAGGCCCCCCACCCCCGGGCCAATTTTTACCCAAGGGCTTTTATTTGTTTATTTGAACAGACTTGGTAGACACCCATAAGAAGATGTTTCATGCTAAACATCTAAGTTCTAGCTCATTGGCTTTTTTAAAAGAAGATTTTTAAAGTTTTTACTATACACATATAGTTAAAAACAATGTCACCCCTGGGGCAGGGCCAGTTTTGACCCCCGGGTGTTTATTTGAACAAACTTTGTAGATATTTACTAAAAGATGTTTCATGCTTAATATCTAAACTCTAGCTATTTGGGTTTTTCCAAAGAAGATTTTTAAGTTTTTGCTATACACATATAAGGAAAATCAATGACCCCCCCACCCCCCGGGCGGGGCCAGTTTTGACCCCAGGGCTTTTATTTGAACATACTTGGTAGACACCCATTAGAACATGTTTCATGCTAAATATCTAAGCTCTAGCTCTTTGAGTTCTTTAAAAGAAGATTTTTTAAGTTTTTACTATATGCATATAGGGAAAATCAATGACCCCCTGGGGCGGGGCCAATTTTGACCCCAGAGCTTTTATTTGAACAAACTTGGTAGACACTCATTAGAAGATGTTTCATGCTCAATATCTTAGCTCTAGCTCTTTTGGTTCTTTAAAAGAAGATTTTTTAAGTTTTTACTATATGCATATAGGGAAAATCTATGACCCCCTGGGGCAGGGTCAATTTTGAGCCCAGGGCTTTTATTTGAACAAACTTGGTAGACATTCACTAGAAGATGTTTCATGCCAAATATCTAAGCTCTAGCTCTTATGGTTCTTTAAAAGAAGATTTTTTTAAGTTTTTACCATATGCATATAGGGAAAATCAATGACCCCCGGGGCGGGGCCAATTTTGACCCCAGGGCTTTAATTTGAACAAACTTGGTAGACACTCACTAGAAGATGTTTCATGCTTAATATCTTAGCTCTAGCTCTTTGGGTTCTTTAAAAGAAGATTTTTTAAGTTTTTACTATAATGCATATTGGGAAAATCAATGACCCCCTGGGTCGGGGCCAATTTTGACCCCAGGGCTTTTATTTGAACAAACTTGGTAGACATTCACTAGAAGATGTTTCATGCCAAATATCTAAGCTCTAGCTCTTACGGTTCTTTAAAAGAAGATTTTTTAAGTTTTTACTATATGCATAAAGGGAAAATCAATGACCCCCAGGGGCGGGGCCAATTTTGACCCCAGGGCTTTTATTTGAACAAACTTGGTAGACACTCACTAGAAGATGTTTCATGCCAAATATCTAAGCTCTAGCTCTTATGGTTTTTTAAAAGAAGATATTTAAAGTTTTTTCTTTTGGTTGCCATGGCAACCAGAGTTCTGCATGGAATTAAATTCTTTGAACAATTTTTAAAGGTGACCACCAAAGGAACATTCCTGTGAAGTTTGGATGAAATTGGCTCAGTGGTTTATGAGGAGATGTCATTTAAAGCAAAAGTTTACGGACGGACGACGGACGAAAAGCGATCACAAAAGCTCACCCTGTCACTTTGTGACAGGTGAGCTAAAAAGAAATAGACGATGGGTCAATATCAACTTCAGGTAGGTTCCAATTTCGCAAATTCCATTTCTCAAAAAGAAATTATTAAAATCAAAATTGGATTTTTAGTGAACTAACGTTCGCTGCAGATGTATTCAAATAAATATCATATTTAAATCACGAAATGGTCGAATTTAGAACCTAAAATAGTATGTGGTATTGTTGAGTGTAAGAATACAGTTCAAAGTATTTTGTAATCTATAAAATGTGTGGTAAAAAATGGGGCTGCCGCCGATGTGATGATAGCCATGATAGTAAAATGTATGTGAACTATAATTTCTCTCCAAGAGCTCGCTTTGAGGCTTTGCCTTATTCATATTAATTGACTGATAATAGCGAGCTCGATGAGCTTGCCCAAAGCGAGCTTTACAGTAACACGAGTACCTGCTAGGTGATGGTTTTGAAAACTTTCGTCCGAAGTACCAAATTGACACATGGCAACTTTTGAATTACAAGATAACGATAAATGCAGATTGCCTGCTGCAAAGTAAATGGGCCAATTGTGTTAGCATCTAAGTCAAAAAATAAAGTTAAACATACAAGAAAATATTTGCTTTTTTTAAAAATCTTAGGATGTCTGTAACAATATTTTTGGAAAGAAAGGATAAGTTTTTGAATACTTTTTTCAAAATATTACATCTTACGTGAACCGTGTGGGTAGGGGACGGATGTTACAAAGATATACTCAAAGTCTGAATATCTTAAAATTTACAATTAAAATTGTATTATTTCTCATTATTTTATTAATATATTATGTATTCTGTTAAGTGTCACAAAATTTTTTGAGAAAATTCATTTTAGATATAAAAATATTTGCTATCAAATTGTCAGTTTTTTCCCTGCAAAATTAAATTTTCAAACATGTTAGAAACAAAGTAAAAAAAACAAGGATAGGTACATCAAATCATACTTAAATCAAATTTGCAAACACATTTCTTATAAAACAGTAAAAATTATAGGACTTTCTTATGTTTATTTCTTGTCAGATAATCCAGAAATGAATTGCATCAGGGGGACGGATGTTACATTTTTGGGGGGACGGATGTTACACTAGATGTTTAAAGCTCATAGTTCATACTTTCTTTGGTTTTATTTTCAAGTAATAAAATTTCTTAGAGTATTATGCTTTATATAGTACAATAAATGTAAAATAATTGAACAAATTATGAGAAAAATGTAGAAATATACCCGACAATTATGGAGTTTCTTACTTTTTGCGTTTCACAATGAAAAGTTGCAATGACTTAGTTTTCTTCCAGTTATCTTACATTTGAATGAACATTGAAATGTTTGGAATAAAATAAGAATATTGCTAATGAAATAAAATAATCCTTGTTTCCAGATAATGCATTAAAACACTGTGTTAAAGAAAGAATGTCATACCAACGGTACCTTTCTATACATGAAATCATTTACAATAATACTTTTGTTATATAATAAGATTTATTTTTGTAAAAGATATGATACAGTGTGAAGTAAATAAGAAGTTTTCAGATTGAAACATATGCAAGCTTGAATTTGTCATTACTAAATACATAAATTATAAACAATTAAAAAATTTCATTAAAAAGATTTTAAATTGTTGCAATTAAGTACTATCGATTTGATGAAATTTTAAGTAAATTAATGTGGAATGTCAGCAGCATTATCCAAAGATTTCATTATGATTCAGTGTCATAAGCTCATTATTTCTAACTTTTAATAATAATTCTCTGTGTAAATATTTCAGTGTACATGAACTGCTTAACTATGAACTAATTTGTCATTCAATAAAATTTATAGGTTCAAAATAATTTGCGAAGGGTTCATACAGACAATTTTTCACAATTATCCCAACTTTTTCATTATAGGAATCCTAACCATATCCTTTACTTAAGATTTTCTTCCACTTTATTAGTGATAACTAAATGGGTCAAATTGTAAGAAAATATGCTGGAATTTTGAAGAAAAAGAAATTTAATCAGGGTATTGAATTGTATTTCTTTATTTGTTTATTTTTTAATTGACTACATCTTTAGCCTGTAAAATTTTGAAGTTCAATAAATCCTTTGACTTAATTGATCTACAGCTTACTTAATGACAGGCCTTCTCTAACAGATATGGTAGTCCCTCCCACTGTTTTTAAGCATATGTACATCACCCTATATTGGCACCCCTACTGTTTTGTAATATATCACACTTCCCAATATACAATACACAGCTCCCAATATACAGCTCGTTAACTTCCAATTAAGTGCCAGCCCCCTCTGTGTGTATATAGTAAGGATCCATATGAGGGGCTGAGATGATTTGTTAACTATTTAAGGCTAAAGAATTTATGTTTTAACAAATGACTAATTTTAATCAAAAAGATACTTTCAACATCTCTACTGTTTACACCTTTTCTGTATATCCTATTTTGGATTTTGTGTTTGTTTCTTCTAGTTATTTTTTTTAATACTATTTTATTGTTGTGTGAAACATTCCTATACAGTTGCAAAACTTACTACTTCTCTATCATGCGTCATAAGAACAAGATAAGTTTGAGTATTACTGTAAAAAGAATCATTAGTTCTAATAGTTAATTTCTGTAACATCCGTCCCCTCCTGTACCCTTAGTTTGAAAACACAGAATAACAAAATATTATATTTGTCATAAATTCATATAAGCTTAACTATTATTTTTATAAACTTATAGGCCCATTTGATGTTTAAAAAAAACATATTAACTTTATTTCAAAGTAAATAATTTTATTTTTTTAGCAAAAAATAATGATTTTTTTTCAAAATTAAGGAATTTGGTGTTCACAAATAATAATTTTTATATAAATACATCATTTCAGTCCTTTATTTCCATTATTTCTTCATTTTTCATTGTAACTTTGGTGTTTTAGTGTAAAATTCCCTTTTCAATTACAGTTTATGTGAGATTTAATAAGTACCATATATAGGGGGACGGATGTTACGGGGACGGATGTTACACACAACTTTTACATTATTGTATTTTTTTTCTCATTAACATAGAAATTGGCAATTTTTGTAACATTTTCATAGTAAGACTATCAATAGGCACCAGAAACATTGTTTTTTATGAGTATTGTTTTAAAATTGGATATTTTATGAGAGGGGGACGGACGTTACAGTTTTTTCATCACAAATTTTTTTTCACCACTATAATGCATACTATGGTAAAATTGTTTCAAAATTTGTTTTGAAAACACTTTACATATGTTTTTAATTCATATTTCATTAGATTAAGACAATAAAGTACTATTTTATTTGTAATTGCTTAAAGGTATACTTGTTTAATTAATAACTGTATTTTGAAAAAACTGATGCATTACAAAAGTCTGATTTTACTAAAATCATCTTAACGATAAAAACCAGGATGATGTATACCAAGTATAATATATCATTGGAAAGGTAACTAAATTTTCTATGTGCATGTAAAAAAAATTAAGAGATAAATTAGAACAGATAATAGTGGTGTTAATTCTAAAAACACCAAAAAATCAGATGCTAACACATTACATGTAAAATTGGGCATTTTTAGGGTATAAAAATGTCTGTATCTATATTTTGGGTAATGCTTTCATAAAAAAACTTTTGGGCACATTTGCTTTATAGTAAGTTCTTTGTAAAAACACAAAAAATTAATTGCAAAAGCAAAATATTCTTTGAAAAAGCCTGCATTACATGTATTTTTGAAAAATTGGCCCATTTACTGTGCAGCAGGCAAGATGTACTCTGATTGAAGCGTAGACTGGTGTCCTGCGCACCTATATGGGAACATAAATTAATTGAAATGAGGAACCAGAATAAACGGAAGCAGTGTATAAAATACCCGGTACAAGTCAACCCGGCCCCGAGTCAACCCGGCCTTTAGTCAGCCCGGCCCCAAATTGGTCAACCCGGCCTCAAACCAATGTTATTTCTGGTCAACCGGAGGCCCCATTTTTTTTATTATTTATTTTGCTTTAAAATATAGACACATAAAACAACAAAAGTTTAGCGATGATATCTTTTATTATTTATTTTATATAAAAACTATCAATATTAACAAAAAAGCAACACGCATAGTTTACTCTTTTTACCGTCGCGAAAATAAGGTGACATCTGTCTTCAACCTTAACCTCTCTACGATAGAAGTATTAAATAAAAACTAAACTTTTTTATTGACATATTATGGAAAAGAAACCTTAATGTGTTCAAATCATTACTATGTTATTGTATGTTAAAAAAAGAAAAAGAAAGAAATGACCAAAAGCACACTAAAGTGTTTCCATTAACAGTTTTTAAGTATGAGATGATTCCATCTATCACAGGTATCGCAGGTTACTGCCTCCTGTCTGTCACGCACAATATATCCACATAAATACAGTTATCAAAGTGATTAAACACAAAACACTATCAATTTTTCAAACACTTAGTAATATTCCAATACTTTTTTACACGGTAAATAGTCTTTGAAAATAAGTTAATAAAACACGAAACAATTATTAATTATACTGATGAACGTATTCAATAAAAACATTCAAATGAACTGAAAAAAAGATTTTGGAAACTGTATTTATACAAACCTTTTAACTCAAAATTCTATGCATTTTTTTCCCTAATTACACTCATGAATGTAACCATCTTTAATTTACATCAATAAGACATGAAAGATACTACCAACTTATTTAAAGGATTTGTTTTCACAGCTATACCTTTTTGTTAATTGATTGCTTTAAACTGTTTGATTATCACATCTGAAATAATGTTGATGTACATTATAATTGTTGATGTTATTCATTATCACTATTGCGTGTCAAAGTCTTAATTGGCGCAATTAAATTCACCGACACTTTTATGCCAGTTCGTGTGTTTTTACTATTGTTCTATAGTTAATAATATTCAATTAATAATAAATCATTTTTTATTCCATCATACAACAAAATGACCTGAATAGTTTTCTTTGAAAAATATATATATTGGGGCAGGAATGACCGATTTTGGGGCCGCACTGACCAATTCTGGGGCCGCATTGACCAAATTAAAATACTGTGGGGCAGGTTTGACCAATTTTGGGGCCGGGTTGACCAATTTTGAGGCCGGGTTAACTTGGGGCCGGGTTAACTTGGGGCCGGGTTGACTGTAATTCAAAATACCGAATGACAATTTTAAAACGGAAAATGTAAAATAAAAATGAACGATTATTTTATACTATTTCACAGTAAAAGAAAATCGAGCTCGCTTTGAGGCTTTGCCTTTTTCATAGCGAGCTCGACGAGCTGGCCCGAAGGGCCTGCTCGCAAAGCGAGCTTTACGGTAACGCCAGTACCTGCTAAGTGATGGTTTTGAAAACTTTCGTCCGAAGTACCGAATTGGACACATCGCAACTTTTCGAATTTAAAGATAACGATAAAAACTGAGGAATTCTGACTGAAAACGGATGTGTAGACTGGTCACCCGCGCACGTCTATGGGAACCATAATTGGACAGGGAACCAGAATAACGGAAGCTGTGTATAAAATATCGAATGACAACTTTAAAATGAAAATTGAAGACGCCATTTTGTTTGAAAAATCTGATAAATAAAAACATTTTTTGTCGAATTTTGTTGTGAAAACTATCTAGAATGAAAGAAAATGGTCTAACTAAGAAAATTAATCCGAACACCAATATCTTTTATTCAGTCGTTAACGCTGTACAGGCGTTTAAAGTATTGTTTACGTGACGTCACAATGTAGCGCCAAACAGCACGTGCAAAACAATCAAATCAAGTACGCTATTTTAATGTCGCAAACATTTTAAGTTTTACATTTATCACACACCCGTGCCGCTTTTGCGACTCCGTAAAAATGGTATTGCACGGCCGTGCATATATTTTGACGTGAAGTCATTAGCGTTATACAAACAAAGTGTAAAGACGCGCTAAATGTTAGCAGTATACTCAGACTTCCCGAAATACGTCGGTCCGACGGACATGTCCGATAAATTTTGATCAGGTCCGACGAGTTTTTACTCCGGATCGGTCCGACTGTCCGGCTTTTATCCAAGCCGCATGTATACAAAATGGCGTCGCTAAAGGTGAGAAACCTTGGAAAAATTAAAAATCTACGTCAGAGGAACAGGCAGAACAGCAGTATAAGGATAAAAAGAATAGATCTGAGACAAAATTTAATGAAAAATAGAAGCAAGACAGTGAATCGTTGGTGTATGATAGGGAGGAGATGAAAATGCGCTGTAAGGAATGTGCCGATTTTTACGGCGAAAAAATTAAAAACAAAATGTGTCTTAGAAATACAAACACAAGTTATTCTTTGATTTTGATCAATTTTATTTGGTCCGACAGATTTCGTTTCGGTCCGACAGATTTTCATGGTTTGTCAGACCAAATGTCTGACAGTTTTTTTCAACTTTCGGGAAGTCTGTATACTATAGGCGCGTCAATGTAAAATGACTCTTATTTCACTTTAAACGGTATTTATTTTGGGTATGTGCTAAATAAAATATTAAATTCGTGTAAGTTCACCACTGAATTTATTGCACTCGTTGAATAAAATGATATTATGCTCGCCAGAGGCTCGTATAATATAATTTTATTCAATTCGTGCAATAAATTCAGTATTGAACTTACACTCATTCAATATCCTCGATTTAATTCACTTTTAATAATCTTTATTTCGCTTGAAATATTATAGAGTGAAATAAAATAAACAAACAAAGTTTAATCAACGTTTTCAAAACTTGTTATTCATTTAACGACAGGGGCGGAGCCAGTCACACGCACTCGTCACTGCATTTGAGATAGAAATGAGCGATTATTTCATACTATTTCACGTTAAATTTTTAAGTACATCGAGCTCGCTTTGAGGCTTTGCCTTTTTCATATTATTATTCTTCAATTATCAATAAGCTGAGGTAATGATTGTTTATGAATCTTAATAAAAAGGTTACTTCTTGGTGAACAAAACATGTATAAGTGAAACTTATCTTAGTACTGAAAAATTTCAACAAAACCAACAGAAAAAAAAATTGCTAGGTCGCGAAAACTAATGACAATAATAAATTTAAATATTTCCAAGATATAGATTTCATAAACATATAACCTTGTCTCTTCAATTTCTGAGGTCCTCTCTTTTTCCAGAAGTTGAAGTGTCTTAGAAACAAAACTTTCTACGGAAATTCTAGTTTTTTTCCTACTTTTTTATATAAAGGGATTTTAACTTTAAACAAAGAATTTAAATTGATCAAAAGATTTTAAAAAAGGGGCCAAATTTATTGAAAATGACAGAAAATTTTAAAGTATTTTGGTTTCAAAATGGCCATGTTGGTTTTGTCACCCAAAAATCGTTTTGGCACTTAACCCAACTAAAAAGAAAAAAAATAAAAAAAAGATTATGTAATCAAAGGTTTATAAACCCACGATTTTGGGGAAAACCCATTTTAGGGCCGTTTTTCATGGAAGGGGCCACTCTGTGTCCTTTAAAAGGTTCCATGATAACCCCCTGTATGAAAAACCATCTGCGGATGTTTAAAAATTCAAAAGTACCTTTTCTTTTTAAATTTAAAATTTCTGTTTTAAGCCGGTGCTGGGGGGCCGCGTTGGGCTTTCTTTAGGGTTTCTTATTTTCTTTTTTTTTTTTTTTTTAAAAAAAGAGGGGGAAAAAGGGTAAAATTGGAAATTAAGCACAGGGATACACTAAAAAATGTAAAAATACAGTAATTTTGTGGAAAAAAAAACTCCAGCAAAGGGCCTTTTCCCAGAAAAATAAGATTGTTTTCCCCGGTTGTTTTATATTTAAAAGCTCAGATAACATTCTCAAAATTTTGCTTTCAGCCAAAATTGTAATTGTTGAAAATGTTTATTTTGGCACATGCAAAATATTCGGGAATAAAATAGGTTTAAACCAACCAAAGAAGCTAAGTATTTTGGCCATGATCGGGCTTTCCCAAGGGATGATTTTAAACTTTCTAGGGGGGTTTTGGAGATAAATAATGTTTTTGTACACCCGACAAACTCAAGGAAAAAGTGTCCCCAATTACAGAAAATTTAGCACCACTAGTGTCAAAATTTACCAACGAAACAGATTTCATCCGGCCAATCTGGGGTTGGCAGACTTCAGATATCAATGTTTACAGTTTAGTACATTGGTAGAAATTCATTTTAATAATTTATATTGGATCGATCTCTTTTTAATCGCATCTTTCCATTTTAAAGCGCTGAACTTGTTACATTGCATCTAGACGCATCCGAGTTACATTGTCTGTTTGTTTTTGTGATTTCCGATAATGAGGATTCTAATAGAAAAATCTTAATTGTTATGTGTTATAAATGTAAAGAACATTGTTTAAACTTATACTGCCATGTGCATATATTGATATATTTGTATATAATCTGTGTCTTAATGAATAAGTTAGATAAAGTGCCCTGTCCGAAAAACACGGACCGCCCTGTCCCGACATACTGTCCGTTTTGGTATGGTCCGCCCTTTTCAGACCGCTCGGCCTAAAAATTCCGAAACCCAAAAAGTGAAATAAGGAATTAGAAAGGTTGGGGCCATCTCCCCCAAATTTCCCGTCAAAAATTTGGATAAGCCCCCCCAAAATACGTAGTTTTGAATAAAACAAGAAGGGTTTCGGTATTTCGTTTAATTTTTAACCTAGGGCTACTTAGAAACTAAAAATAAACAAATTTTCTGAAGGGTTTGGTTTTTGTTTTTTTTTATTTTCTGTACCTTTAAATGTCCACTAAAATTTTAAGAAATTCTTTCCCCCACTGGGGTTAAAACGCTAAAAAGGGTAACAATCAATTTTTTTACATACACACTTTAAATCACATAGCCATGAAAAGTATTACTAAGAAATATACTCAGATTGTATTTTTGTGCTATTCATATCCCGTTTTGTGTCATCTTTTCATATTTATAATAATAATAAATATAAATAAATATAATAATAACTCTTGGAAAAAAAACCCGAATGATCGGAGATTTTGCACAAACATTTTTTGTCAGACTTAGAACAAATGGAACATAAATCTCGAGATCATTTTAATATAAATATCTAGAAAAAAGTCCAGTCATGTCAACAAACTTAAGTGAAGTTATTTTGTGGTAGAGAAATGTAGATATAGGGATCATAGGGGTACAACAAGTAAATTTAATATGATTATAGAGAACATATTTAAAGTTTTGTGGGTTTCTTCCTTTTTCTGTCTCTGTTTTTGATGATGAGGTGATCCTAGAAAACAACACCAACAACAACAAAAACAAATAAACAAACATGTATATTTTTCTATTAAAATATTAACTTTACATAAAATGACTATAAATAACTTCTTGCCTATTGTGACTAACTTCACTTTGTAAATAACAATACAACTAATTACAGATTGATTCAAACCGCCTATATATACTTAAGTCACATATAACGCATAAATTTCATTTTTGCTGTACAAAAGTAGTTTCTTTTCCCAATTAGGCAAACAGGGGAAACTGAGTTTTAACTGGGGAAATTTTAAATTTCCCAAAAAAACTCTTACTTTTTAAAAATTTAATGAGAAAAAAATATCCCCCTTTTTTTTAATAGTTTTATTTTGGGTTTAAAAAAACGAAAGCAGGGGAAGGCTTGAAAAATTTTTGGCCCATTTTTAATTGTTTTAAATTATTTTCATAGTCATTTAAGGACCACCCTACCCGGAAATTTTCACATCCTCTCCTTTTGTTGTTCCGAAAAAGAACAGACATAGTTTTTTTCCAAACGGCATTTTTACAAACCTTCTTTTGGGTTTTCCTCAAATTTCGCCCAATTATTTTCCCGTTTCTCCTAAATTTTCATACTTTCATCTTCCCCCTCGTCGTCATCTTCTTCGAAGGTGACATGTTCCTCGTCATCCTTTGTATGTGTATCGCCTGTAAGATAATCAACTCCAAAATCTTCTGGTACATCCTCTGCTTTTACTTGTATAACAATAGAAGCTGATTCGTTTTCGATGAAATACTTTGCACCTCTGCTGTCAATCCTGCTTGTGATGGCACTTACAGTTCTAGCACTGACTGTTCCTTTCGGAAAAATTGCAGTATCTAGTGTCAAGTGGAGATCATTTTCTGTATCGTCAGTCGAACCTAGAGCCCAGTCTCAATGTCATATGGCGTTTTTTATTCTACTCTCTTCGAATATCGCCGTTCTCATTTGCCTGCCCAACGAATCATCATTCCAATACCCTAAACTCTTGCTTTCTCGTTATCATCGTCGTAGCATATACCTGAATTATCATTTTCCGATATATTCAAATAAGATTGGGTTTTTTCAGTGATTTTTGGGATTCTTCGTTGAAAATTTTCCCTTTTTTTAAATTTTTTTAATGAAACCAACGGGACTTTGATTTAAATAAATCATTGAGAGTTTGGCCCCCTCTTTTTTAGTTTTTCTTTTTGGGTTTTGGAATTTTGTGACGATTTTTGGGCTTTTTAGTTTTTTTCAGATTTTTTTTAACTCTTGAAAAAACCGTAATTTTGTTTTTTTCCCTCTTTTTCAAAGGTTTGCTCACCCATTTCTCCCCTCCCGGTGATTTTTTTTTCGACACTTTTTATACTTTCTTTTTCCATTTTTTTTGACAATTTTAGGACTGTGTCACTTTCTCCGCTTGTTTTTGGGGTTTCCCTTAGAAGCTTTCCAGTCTTTTTTTCAGGTTTTTCATTTTCGTTTTTTTAAACTTTTCCGTTACCAAAACAGGGGTAATTGATATTCTCTTACTTGGTTTGCTGTTGATAATCCTAAACTCTGCTGTTTATAGGGTCTTTGAGAAAGGGTTGCAACCTCGCTGTCGTTAAGGTCAATTTTTGTACGACATATTTTAGCTTCCTTTGATTGTTTCTCGCAATTAACTTTTGGAGTATGCGATGAAAGTTGAGTATGTGACGGATATATCGCATTATCATCTGTTTGTAACACAATAGCTTTCGGTGTTACATTTGAATTTCTTGATGTGTTACCATTGCTTCCTGTTTGAAATATCTGAGAACTATCTTTGTCACTTGTCTCTGCCCTCAAAACAGGCATTGCATAATTGTCCGGTCTTGTCGGTATAACTTTATTATTTTCTAAATCTTCAATAGAAAGTCTTTCTGACTTTTGGTTATTAGCCATTGTAATTGTTTTCAATTTTTGACTGTCAGACAAATTGGTGTCATTTGGTATATTTTTCTCTTTACTCAAAGGATACTCCTTGATGTTATCATTTCCATCTAATTGAAAGACAGTTAGTTCATGTCCGTTTTGCGTGTCTTCTTGTTTACTTTTCTTTCCTTTACCAAATGGAAACACTGAAAAGGGATTGTATTGTTTGTCTAATACTGGAGATTTTGAAATTCTGTGATCGCCATTATACTTTGTTTCAATAGGGGCTATTCCTTGTGGTCCGTTAACCCAGAGAGGTGACCTTTGATGAGGTATATTGTCAATATCAACTGAAACTAGAATAAAAATAAAAAAAGTTTAAGGGTAAATTATATTTGTTTTATCCTACATATGTACTTAGATAAGCAATAAACGCAGTATGAGAACCAGCTCATGCATTGAACGGAAAGTGTGTAAGATGCACAGTTATCAAATTACTATGCATTTGGTTAAACTAAGTTGAAAATGACAAATACAATTTTTGTTTTTCATATTACATGTATACCTGTCATGCTAGCAGTGCTAATATCGTGTAAATGATATGCTTCTTTCATACAGTATAAAACAAAACATTAATAATTATTTGTTAAAAAGTTACGGAGTATTAATAAGTAAATATATTTAAATGAATTGAAAAGAAAATACACACTGCAATATTAATGATACTAAATCTTTTCGTATGTGAAACAAGGCATTATAAAGGAATACTTCACAATTTCCATGTGCAACCAAATTCCGTAAGCAAATGGTGCAAGTTTAAATGTCTTACTTTATTATTGTTGATCTGTGCAAAATGTCCGGACTGTCACCTCATAAAATCAAAATAGAAAAACCCTTTATAGAGTCAAACCAAATGTATAGTGTAACTATTTTTAGGTTAATTCGGACTAAAAACACAAAATTCGACTAATTTCGTGAATAGAAACAGTTGTATTGATAAAATGAAAATTGATTTCAACTAAGCTGTTTTATTCTAAATTCAAGCTTTATTTTCAGTGTGGACTACTTTTCTAAATGTTTGCTCTATATGTTGTCACTATACGCGTGCATACTACTTATTTACTTAATAGACACTCAAACTAATTGTAATGTTGTTGCAATGTCTGCTCGTACATACGTTTCTTAGACCTCGGCGATTCTACAGTGTTCACGTTTTCATTTTCTTGTTCTTTCTTATTCTGTTTCCCTTTCTTTCTTTTACACAACAGACACATCAGAATAACGGCTGCTATTAAAACGAGAATGCCAAAAACGATGCCGACTATTGCACCAGTTGACAACCCGCTACTACTACTTTCGTCTGTTTTAGCTATTGAAAAAGGTTTGGAATTAAAGTTATTTTTTCATAATAAGAATTACACAAAAGAAATATGGAGAAACGATAATTTTGCGAAGCTGTCTTTTAACATTGTTAATACATTTTGTATAATCATAATGTCTAGAATATTTATGACGCATGAGGGAGAACAGGTTTGATTTTAACATATATGATTTTTATAAGTTGATTAATCTTGAAGGCGTGTCATTATTTTCATAACAAAAGATGAGAGGATGTAATAAAATGTTACTCACGACATAACCCTGCATTGAAAGAGAAAAATAAACAATTTTAAAGCTTATGAAAGACATCGTTACATATAGTACCAGTTTCCTAATAAAACTTAAATAATAACTAACTAAAATTGTATCATAGTTTTAGGACCTTTCTGTTGAAAATGTGTCAGAGTTAAATCGTATACATATATACATGCACATTGTGTTAACTGGAGTGCAGTACTATTAGCTACCCGCACTCCAGAGCATGTCCATTGATTGGTTCATTTTTGCTGGGGTTTACTTATTGTGACGGCAGAGAAAGGAGAAGCAATAGAAATATAATATTAAGATGCTCGTTCATTGGTTATTGTTTTCTGGAGTTTCATATTGTGACAACAGGGAACGTGATTATATGTTTGACTATGATTCAAAAGAGAAAGAACATCAAAACACTCGGCAATCTGATTAATACTCGGGGGATACGCCCCCTCGTAAAAATCAGATAGCCTTGTGTTTCGATGCTCTTTTTATTACTTATTTTGTGAAATAACGCAATTGCTTTATGGTATGCCAGCACTATTATTGTTGAGAATTGAATACCACTGAAGCCGGTGCTATGGGGCGTGAGGGATCAAACCAAGTCTGCTATTCTCTTGTAATTTTGTTGTGATTAATGCTTCCGAGGGATCACTTTGTTTCCAGATTTTTATACTTCACAACAGCAGGTGTTATATTTCTCTTGTCCTTCGGGATCATTGATGCCAGCACAATTAAGTGTTGAGATTTGAGTACCGCTCAAGCCGGTGCTCGGGGTCGTGAGGGATGTTGCACTTATTCATTATCCCTCATGTACATACTCAATCAAACCTAGTCTGCTATTCTCTTGTAATTTTGTTGTGCTAAATGATTCCGAGGGATCACTTTGTTTACAGATTTTTTTTCTAACTAAGCAAAAATGAACCATTTTTTGTGCATACGATTTATTTATTCCATACTTAAACATTCCATTGCATTCTGCTTAAGCCGGTGTTAGGGTGAGTGCATTAACGACTTCTATCCAAGTACAGACTTAATCAGTTTTTTTCCAATTCAGCCATGTGTACATTCTTTAAGATTTTTTATTTTACCGGTATCTATTTTTAAGACCTATTTTATTTAGGAGTCTAGAACATTTTCAATCCTAAGACGATTTTGATAGACATTGAATTACTCTTACTTCTTGGTGTAAGCTGCATGTTCAGCCCATCAGGAGTGTTTTGATATGCCTGCAATGGTTGATCGATTGGTGTTTGACCCTTTTTACAGCTGCCTGGAGTTTGTGAGACAGTTAAACTTCCATTAGTTGCTATAGAGGATACCTATAGATGGATATGAATTATCATTATGAGAATATGTAAGAAGTTTATCCTGATGATTTTATTGTAAGCGTATATTGCCATATATCTAAGAAGTAATTTTCTTTTTGTGCGTTTGTTTCATAACGTAATAAAAGAAACATGACATTATTTGAAACACACGGCAGAAAAATGACTTTTACTGATTAATGAATCATCTCAATTACTTATACACTGTATGTCAAAAACCGTGAAAGTGTTTTCATTTTTTTCAAGACCCAACGATTACGAGTATTGCATTAATATCTACATAATTTACAGGTTGATGGCCGATATTTCTTGTAACGAGTTGTTTAAAATATATGAAATATCACAGTCACTATTAATGAGCGAAAACTTCTCTCCGCGAAAACGATCCTTATGAAAAAAGCAAATTTTTGTATCTGCGAAAGTATGTAGGAATAAAATATGCCGATGATACACTTAACTACAGTTACTAAAATAAGTTATATATTTTGATTGACATCATGAAATGTCCGTCAAAACATCTTAATGAGAAACAGTATACATGTATACATGTATACATTTTCTTAATGAAAAGATTTACAATCATTAAGTCACTCACCATACATGTAAACCTATGTGTGCCACCTGAAGGGTTCACAGTATTATCTTCATTATACACTGTGTGATATGTGTAGCTACCAGATGTCAAACTGAACACACAAAACACACTGCCATTTTCTTAAAATGAAATTACAAGACAAATAAATAACGAGAAGATTATCATAATATTGTTATGATGTGATAAAAATTGAAATTTGAAAAACATGTGCTTTGGTGGCCAACTGTTCGTTGATTTCGAGCAATTATCCCCTTATGGCTTCGGGTTTGAAACCCCATAAGGACCTTTTGAGTCTTACATGTGAAGCGCTATCCATCTAGTTAACCAGAGGGCTTGTTTCACTGAGGTTTTACAGAGGTTTCTGCTCGTGCATGAAACAATAAGGGAGGGGCACCTGATGTCTTCCTTGAGAGTCGCCGTTTACCTTTACAGTGATATCCAAACCAGAAAAAATCACGTATGCCCAAAAGAAATAAATGTGATGGTGTCAAAAATTTAAGGCGATGAAAATAAAAACTCACTGGAATAGACATTAGACATAACAATGATCAAGAAATAGACACATTAATCGCATTGGTTGAACTTAAAATACTCATCTTCTTAGAAATGGCTACAAACATTACGTTGATTTAGAATCATCATTCTCTTCCGAAGAAGGTAAATATTGTATGACCGAAAAAAGCGATAAATGCATTGAATAAGGAATACACACTACATAATTGTAGGTAGTTCATATTCAAGAAAATTAAGTATTCAGCATAATTTAAACACTCTTGGTTGATATAGACAGGAAACAAAACATTTTGAAGGGTTTAACGCCCTCCTTGTCTGCATAAAGGTAGACCCTACGATAATATTGTTTAAAATGTATTTATTGTTTAAAAAAGAAACCTTCTTTCACTAATCTACACAGAAACGACCAGTAAAAGGTGATTGATGGGGTGAATCAAACCACTAACTAAAGTAAAATACAGATTTCTAGTAGATCACAGCTCAAATAAGTTAGTTGACAGTGAGCACTTCAAACTAGACACAGCATATCATGTTTAACTAAATAATCTTACATTTATAAAAATATTGATTTTAAAATGTAAATTAAATGCTATGCCTAACATATTACCAGAATATGAAATCTGAGTACTGCAAATTGTGTAGTTGAATGACATTTTCTCGTAATCTGTACAAACATCCCAAACTTCGCTACCAGTCCCACAGTAGTCTGTATTAGTGTCTTTATTTGTTACTGTGTAAAAATATTCTCCGAAAAAAGTCGATGGACATTCTTGTTTTGCAGCAACTTCACTTCCTTAGCAATAAATGATTATAATATTCTTAAACATATGAAATGATATACAATGTGTGATTATTTTTTTATATATAATAGAGAGTTAAAATCGTTCACCGATATTTGAAAATGTTTATATTCTGATACCTAAAGTCACTACTTTCTGTCTGAATTTGAGCACGTCGTATTCACTCAAAGTACTAGACTAAGTATGCATGCCAATACCTCTATTGCAATTCCAAATAATTGAGCCGCGTCACGACAAAACCATCGTAATGCGTTTGCGACCAGCATGAATCCAGACAAGCCTGCGCATCCGCGAAGTCTGATCAGGATCCATGCTGTTCGCTTACAAGCCCTATTACAAGTAGAGAAAGTGATAGCGAACAGCATGGATCCTGATCAGACTGCGCAAACCCGTTATGTTGGTTTTGTCATGACGCGGCACATATTATAACACTTGATCCGTCCGAAATTTATTTTGGGGAGATGGGGGTATCAATCACAAGCAAATATTCGAGGAACATTTTTCCTTCGATGCTAGCAGAAGTTTCTAGTGGTTCACATTTATTTGTTCACATACATGTAATACATATCGGTCAACACAATGCCTGGAACATGACGAGAGGTTAGACTTTCCATGTAATGGTTATAAAACAAAAGTATATTTAACTATTTTTGTTACAGACACATGTTAAGAAAATCCCATGCAAAGTTTGACGGTGTCACTTCATGTTAAACGTTGAATTCTGCTTAAGCCAGTGCTAGGGGGGCGTGGACGGTAGTTTGCACTTGACAGTACCGTCCATGAACAGGCTCAATCAAACCGAGCCTGCAACATTTTCAATTTTGCCGTGTTGGGCTTTCTTTAGAGATTCACATTTCTCTATTTTAGTCTGCAGAGACTTCGAAATATATTTATTAACAAACAATGTATATATATGTAATAGTACATAGTTTCATTTATATCTATTTGAAAGCCTTACCTTGTTTTACAAGTATATGATATTCACCAGTTTCCGGATATGCCGCTGCTTGGGCAGCGTTACTTGTGGTAAAACATAACTGCTGTACAGGGTCCGATACCGACATAGAAGCTAGCGTTGTTGATATTCTCTCTTCACGGTATTTTTCCTCTTCCGCTAGTTCAGAAACAAATTATTGCATTGGTATAAATTAAAACAGAAAACAAAAACACACGTCTAGGTTCGTTTTTGGAACGACGAAATGAATTATGCTATATACTCAGTTTTTTTTTTTGCGAAACATACCCGTTATAACTTGTACTTAGAAATCAACTTCATCCAATAAATATTGAATATATTTTTCATCTTACCGCTAATGTTAAGTGGTGTAAACACGCGATGAAAATACAAAACGCGACTTATACAAGTGGAAACCAAAAGGTTTATAGCATATTCTACCTAAACAGTTCTTTTAAACACTGCAAAATATATGAACTGGCGCAGTGCTTAGGACTTTATACCATCAAATTGACTTCCTATTCATCCCACGCTTTGTTTTCTAAATGAATTGGTAATTTAACATATAAAATATACTTTTATGAGACCTTTTGTCCTGTACCATTTCAGACACAAAACTTCATATTTCTTATGGGCGATTATTGTGCTTTTTCTGTATCCATCTGATTTTGAGGCAGATGTTCATATCAATTCGAATTTAAGTTGTTGTCACTTACCCCACAAGAGATAGTAATAATATGATTGCGAGGTTATTTCCGTTAACTCCATGCACAAATAAGCTGTATATGTTTCTTGAAGTATTGTGATATTCTGTGTTTGTCTGAAACGAAATTTTATGAAATAAATAATAAAATCTAATCCAATTAATAGTTTCTTGTATCATAAACTGTTAGTCGTTGCATACCAGAATATTAAAAAACAACTTTGATTCAAGTACATTTAAATGAATAAATTTAAGGCAGTACTTCGTACGTTATAATGTGTGCTTACGGGAAAATGTCATTGTTATATCGTTTTCCATGCTATAAATTGAAATTGTTCACCCAAACCAAAAACAGATTTCGTCGTACCATTCCTGTATGAAAATGTAACTAAGCCCCCTTTTTAACTTTTATTAAGCAAAATCGGTAACAAGCATGGACAAAATATACTACTAGCGAATCTTAACTCTTAAAGCAATTCTGTTATAAAATAAGTTGTGTGTTATTCTCGTCCAATTACCATAATTAAAATGCAACAGAATATCAGTGAAAGAATAATGTTACTTTTTGAACTTATCAAAATGACATGTAGTTTACGTTTAAGCATAGGTGTTTGATTTAAAGTGTACACAACTGCATACATACATTTGCCACCTGGAGTTAACAAATTTAGTGTTTAGAAACGAATACATTTAAAATACCTTGATGAATGAAATGTGTTTGTATAACGTTTTCCTTATAATGGGATGGCACATGCATAAAATCATTTTAAATGGTTGAAAACATATATTATTTTGTCCAAGCTATTTCAATTCTGTTAACGTACTAATTTCATGTGTGTTACATGTAAGTAACATATCCATGATTTTTAGTTACAATTCTGTCAAGAACCGAACAAAATATTTTATCGGTTTATGAATTTCATAAAAGATGTGTAATTTGATATAGCTTTAATATGATCTGCATTGTACTGAATACAAATTCTTAACTTAAATTGAAAGAAGCATGAGAAAAATTCTAAAATGAAAAATGAAATAAATCAAGTAAGTAAGACATTTTTGTCATGTTGAAATATGAAATATACTCTAATGATATAACATTTATTCAACACCTTATAAATTCTACCAATGAATTTGCAGCATTTTAGCCTCGTGATTTTCCATTAGAAATTATCAGATACATTATCAGTATCGTGCCCCATTATTATAGCATAAGTCTAAAATATATACATGTATATCAAATCCAAATCGTAATACAGTTATAGAGTTCAAAATATCTATATCAAAAGCATATCGTACCTTATATTGCCTCATTTAAAAAAAAACAGTTCGTTAATAAAGTAAGAAAGTTCTGTAATATTGCTCTCAATTACAAAATAATTAACAAATAAAGCACACAAAAAGTAAATGTTTCAACGTGCTTTGAAGATAAGCATCAGTTACACTGAAATATTTCAAATTATTTGTTTGGGGAAACTATACATTTTTAACTTACATCATTATAAGATATAGCTTTGAACCTTCATTGCTGGTATGGAAACATTCCCATTCTTCATACACGGTACTAACGCCTAAAGTTTGAAAATCCCACCCTGTCATGTTGGTAGTGCTAAATGTCAGCTCCTCCTTATCGCTGTCGATCCAAACCGAGTTTTGGAATTGTTCAGGTAAAGTGCATGCTGCGGATGCTCCTGAAATAAGAACAAATGGTATAGCTTATATGGAAATCTTCTACTTATTTTTTATAACAACGTAATACGATCCAAGTATGGTACGTCCCCTGTGTATAACTAATTGAATTAGCGATCTTACTTTTTTATCATAATTGATATATGTCATGGTAACAGGGGTACTGCTTCAACCCTGCTTCTACCTCATGTTAGCTATCAAAGAAGTATCTTGAAAAATATACATTTACTTCAAGGAAACGGTGATTTGCGCAGAGATTATTTAGGATGTATTCAGATTGAAGCAATTTATTACACCTTAAGATGCACAATTAAAAAAAATAATTCAGCAAGGTCCGCCAAGTCAACAATTTTACAACACAAACTAATAAGTTATGATTAATAAACAAATAAAAAATTCTTATGTTATTACCTTGTCGGAGAAAAATATTTAATATCCCTAAATAAATCAAAACTTCCATATTTTTTGTTAGCCTGCTTATAAAATGTCCATGGCGAGATCTAACTTAAATTCAAAAGCTAGTGTTTTCATTATGGAAAAGCGATCTATATCAATCAATCAATGAAAACAAAAGGTATTATAACTAAATGAGGCGTGTCTTTTTTCAACGTCAATAGGTTTGGGTTTTTAAGTGTACATAAATATGCCATCGATAAAAAAAAGTTTTAGATTTCAAAGTACCCTGAGAGTGTTTTTTTTTTTGTTTTTTTTTTAAATTGATTTAATGTATAAGCTATCTATATATTTGAAAATTTATTAACAATAGGAAATTGCAAAAAAGACAAAACAACAACAACAACGCATTTAAATAAGAACTTTTATCGACCCCGGTATTTAAAAGTAATTATCGTTAACATTTGTATTTGTAAACAATTATGTTTTTCGCATACCGTCGTCGTACCTAAAACAATAGTTATCTTATCTTAAGTTTCCCGAAATCGATAACCGAAACGTGATCTTTGGAGTTTTGTGTTAGTGACTATTTTACAAATATTTTTGTAATGGAAAGAATTTTACATGAACTACTGCAAAAATGTTATTTTTTCTTTATATGTGGATCCTTATTATTCATCTTTTCCGAGGTATGTGTTTTGATTTTCTTATAAATTATACAATATAATATTATCTTTATTTCTTAAGACAACGTGCGAGATAATCTTTTTTTAACGTACAAATTTTATATTTGATACAAATATACCTTTTTATGTGTTAATCTAGGAATAAAATATCTGATACAATAATAGTTGTATATAGTTTTTATATATTATACCTGTCGTATCTTTCTATGATGGGCATTGAAAGAAAATTCTTCATAACCATCAGCATAACCGTCGTCGTCATCAATTTGATTTTATTTGCTTTCTTTTCATTTTAATTGTTCTTTTATTATCCTTGCCCATATAAATGTATATTATGTATACGTTACTCACATTCTGAACTTGGCTTGATTGACTGGCATGGTTGACAATCAAGAAATGATCATAATATTACATGCATGTGTAAGTCTTTCACCAACTTCACGGCATTTGTCCTGAAAGTTGGTTTAGAAACAAATGATGTTGAAGATTCTCCACATTAAGATATATTTTAAATTTACCCACATAAATGTGGAAAACAAATGTATCAGTAGCAAGAAGTGTAGTAATGAGTATGGTAAAGATGTGATTAATATTCAAATTCCAGAGATCGCCTCATTTTGTGAATTACCGGAGCAATTCCAAAACTCGGTTTGGATTGACAGCGATAAAGGGGAGCTGAAGTTTAGCACCACTAACATGACAGGGTGGGAATTTCAAACAGAAAACGGGGACTTGTTTGAGAATTGGGAATGTCTGCATACTAGTACTGATTCAACGAAACTCCTCCTCATCATGGTGTAAGGAATTCTATGTTACTTATTCTGTTCAATCATTGCATTTTAAAGTCGCACGTACATGAAATATAACAAAATATCAAACTATTCTGCTATTATAGTCAACTGATAAAATAAACGTTTATCAATTATTGGCATTAATTAATTAATTAATTAATTCATTCATTCATTCATTCATTCATTCATTCATTCATTCATTTATATACGAGTTATCGAAATTGATTAATCTTTAACATGGTCTTTTATTTATTCATTTAGATACAAGTTATAGAAATTGATTAATCTTTAAATTGGTCTTTTATTTATTTATCTATTTACGACTTATCGGAATTGAATATATTAATCTTTAACATGGTCTTTTACGATCAGTTCAATAGAAATAAGAGCAAAGAGTCAGCGACTAGAGACAACAAAGTTTCTCGTACTATGTGCATGTAGCACCAAACGCGGTAGATATGGTTAACATTTTCAGAGCTAAAATAGAAAAGGGCATTGTTGCAATTTTGTTTGCAAATTTTACGCTTTATTTGTCAATTTTAACATAGTTTTCACAATGCTTTGTATTTCTGACTTTGGAACAGTCAGCAGAAAAAATAGAAGGAATTTTCAATATGATTTATTATTTGTTTTGACAAACGAAAAGCATTTCAATGCTTATTATTTACTTTGCCGCTCACTTGTATATGGCAATCAAAGGCTAACAGTTGATTTTACAAGAAAGCATCATATGTTTTAACATTTAGTGCATTAAAAGTTAAAATTTACGTTTAAGACAAACACAGAACATCACAATACTAGGTGCGCCGTATACAGCTTACTTGTGTATGGAATTGAAAGAAATAACATCGCAATCATATTATTACTATCTTTTGTGGGGTAAGTTGAAATTAATCAATATATCAATCAGATTTATTAAATTATCATGCCATTCTCTGGTTGTTTAATACCAGTTAAGTGTTGCAAAACAGCTGTAAGTAAACTGGAGCAATCTGTAAATGCATACACCACCCTGTATCACACTATATAATGTTTCATTAAATTCACTTGTTGTAATTTTACGTTTCATGCTTGTACAATAAGAATGCATTGGTAATGCCAACTTGTATGTTTTAAAAATGAATTAAAAGTAAAATAGTAGTAGTAGATAACCTTAACAACCACGAGTACATTGTAAGATTAATTAATAATAACTTATTCATTAAGTAATCATATTCATTCAGAATATATGCAATTTACCCTTTAAGCAAGATGTTACTATTTTAAGCTGAAGAGGAGAAATATCGATATGAGAGGATATCGGCAACTCTTTCGTCTACAGTAGTTTCTGATCCAGTAAAACAGCTGTGTTTTAGTACAGAAACCGCTTCACAAGCAGCAGAATTTCCAGAAACTGGCGAATATCATGTACTTGTCAAACAAGGTAAAGCTATTTGTGTGTTAAGAGATGATAAAATATTATCTACTGTTTATATTGAGTGTCGTTGCATTGCTAGTCAAAAGAAATATTTAAAATTGCTATAATTATTTAGGTAAGAAATCTCAAACAAATGTTTAATATCTATATAAATTCATCAAATATATTTTCTGAAAATACATATACATGTACATTTAAAAAGGATTATGTATTTTTCTTTACAGTTGATTCATCATTTTACTTATTTGTAACTATAATACAAATTATCTTTATTATACAGATTAATAATAAGTAATACGCTTGCTTCTAACGCATATCTGTCATGCATTGCGATCTTTACAGTAAATAAATACAAATTTGAAATAGATACAATCTAAATACCAAACAAACTTTATACTTTTAATTGTTCATGTCATAAACCGTGGTTCAGTTGATCATTGAAACGTTTGTATAAAACAAAAGTGGAGTGTAGTAAAGGTCAGCGTCAATGTTTATGAACATATATCTTGAATCTTGCATGACCATATTGATATCATATGACGGTGATGGCACTACTGCATAACAAATATTATCTTTTCCATTTATTCTATTTTTTGTATTTTACTCTACAAACAAGTTAGGATATAATCAGCTATGTTCGTACATTGTACTTACCAACTGAGTTAGACTGTATCTTTCAGGAAGTGAAGTGTTCGCTAAACAAGAATGTCCATCGACGTTTTTCGGAGAATATTTTTACATTGTCAAAGATTTAGAATCAAAGAATAGCTATTGCGGGACTGGTAACGAAGTTTGGGATGTCTGTACAGATTATGAGCGAATGACATTCAACTACACTATTTGTGATACAAAGATTTCTTATTCTGGTGAAAAGATTATTCTCAAATACCATTACCACTAGGATTTTCTTTACAGAACATACATAATTCGAAAATACTACGAGCATATATTTATTTGAATGATATGTTTTAGAAGTAGTCAAGAAAAGGTTGCCTTTTTGTGCCATCTTATTTTCAAAACAATTGATAAAACTACACGATTTTGTTAATTACTTTTAAGTGATTACGAAATTTACATAATTTCTTATTTTACATTAATTAAATGATAATGCAGTTTCCTTGGTAATTTGAATAAATCCATAATAAAAATACACGCTACTTCTTTCTTAGTTTAAATGTGCTGAAGTTCGTCAGGCAAGATGATGTAACTATTCAAAATCTGTCTATATTTTCTTGCAGCTGAAATATACATATCTATCTTCAGTGCTTTACGTTTTCATCGCCATGCTTTATTTAGGGTTGCATATGTGTTACATTATAAATCGCTATAAATGTGCTTTCTGTTTAAGGGAATGGAAGTGTATTTTGTGTTTTTACTCTAACATTTGGGAGCTACACATATCACACCCTGTATAATGAAGATAATTTTGTGAATCATTCAAATGGTACACATAGATTTACATGCATGGTACGTTCATATAATCTGTCTTCAGAAAACATGTTTTATTTAGCTTAACTCCAGTAAGGTCACAAAATTTGAATATTTTTACATTCATTATTTTGGGCACTTAAAACAGAAAATGGATGCAAAAGATATTTAAGAAATATACGCAGAATAAATTAAAAATCTCCCTGCTATTTGAGCTTGATATGAGTTTAGATCCTTGCAACACGTTTCAATTTTGAATCATTTGTCGCATCTACAATTCTAATAAATGTCATTTTTACTTGTTGCTAATATTTGAGCTGTAAAGATATAACATTTTAAAATTGCATCTAGGTATCAAGTAGAAACTCTGACGGGAGTCTCAATGTTTCACAAACTCCAGGAAGCTGTAGAAAGGGACAAACACCTTCTGAACAACCGGTGTTTGCTTCCAATATGTCTTCTGCAGGACTGAACATGCAACTTACACCAAGAAGTAAGTACAAATATTTACAGGGTAAATTCCTTGGACTAAAGTGTTTATTGCAAGTAATGTACAGTTGTGTTAAATTTGTTATTGCCATATGTACGCATTTAGTATCGTATGACTTAAACAGTAATAAGTGATTATCATTATTCTACAAATGATTCGATATGAATATCGTTTTTAGTATTGTCTAAAACATAATCAGTTGTTTCTCATATGATATTGAAAACATTTCAATTAGTGCACTATGACAATTCTCGTTTTTTGTTTCTTTTTCAGAGCTGTGTCGTAAGTGATTGAATCAGTAAAAGCTCTTGTACATAACAACATACCAACATAAAGACTATTTTCTTGTCTGAAAGATAAATAGATCACTGTGCTAAAAGCTTAAGTTTACATTTTCTATTTATTACTATTATTCTGATAACGAAGGATGTTGCATATGTATGATGTAATCTTAGAGAAAAAAAATATTTTGGTACAGTGTATTATAGGGTGCCTGAGAAAAATGATAAAAAGAAAGAATTACAGATTCCGTTTTGCTTGACTGTACTCACTGAAATAACACAAAATACAGATTAAGTGTCTGCTCTCAATATTATAAGTATAATATCTCGATAGATTTTAATATTTGCTTTTCCTCTGGTATACATGATTTTCATGAAATTCCTATACATGACAATCAGATTTTAAATACATTTGTCTATGTATTTATCGTTTTTGTTTATATATATTTAACTTATACATATATGAGTGATGAGAGCAATATAATATTAATACATCTACTGATGTTTTTCTACAAGCCAAACGAGCTGAAGGACCATGCAATGGACTTTCCGCTGCAGCAATTGCTGGCATTGTCATAGGCACACTCGTGTTGACAATTATCATCATAAATATGATCGTCTGTTTGAAAGGGAAATGCTGTCGAGAGAGACGTACCTTCAACCAGAAGAAAAGAATTTCATCTCAACACGACACATCAGAAATTATTTCAGGTACTATCGTTTTATTAACTTAAATTAACCCCAACATTTTAATGTGTATAAATTAATTATTGAGACTCCTTGCACTAGGTAAATGACCGGTAAAAACTTAGCTAACTTTAAGAAAGTCTTGACAGACAAGTTTATACGAAATTGAATTTATATCGTTAGTATACGTGTATAAGTTTGAACTAACATACATTCACTTTAAAATCATACCTTTTAGAAAAAGTTATTAACGAAGAACCAAAAAACCAAACAAGCAAAGAGAAATTGTATATTAACAATGGTATTCAAACGACACTATCATCCAATGACGAAACCGCGACACAAGGAAAATCGCTTAATAATAAAGACGAACGATCGCAGTTCAACAATGATGACATGTTTGATTTATCACTTGAAATGAGTAGACCTGATCACAAAACATCAGGGCAGATGAGTACTTCTACCATAAACTCTGATAAAAATACAACTGAATGTACCCAAGAGGATATAATACTAGGTAAATGCAGTGTACCTTGTATTGCTAACCAGGAATTGAACGGGAACGTTTCTTGTGGGAGTAAACTTACTGATGATATTGTCGAGCCTTTAGATTCAAATGACGTCGAGAACATTATAGAAAACAAAAGTGACGAAATAGTTGTAACACGTATCACGAAAATCGAAAAACCATTAAGAAAAGATATGCCACATTTGAATTCTACAGAAAATATCTTTTCTGACTTTGATGCCACTGTGACTAATGAGACTGAAAATTACAACATTTCTAAAAGCGACTTAAGTATTATAATAGACTGTGTAGAAAATAAAAATAATCAGAAAAATGTTTTCGTATTTTCAAGAGATGATAGTGCTCTGGATATGGAAACAGACAATAAAACAATGAGTAAAATTAAAACACAAGACAGAATGCATAAGTCTGAAGGAAACTTAGTGGATGCTATAGAAAAAGGGAATTCGACACGTATATCTTCAGAGATATCTTATGAACCTCTCGAATGGAATTTTGTGTACAGATCTCCATACGCTTTGTCTGATAAACAAAAGCAAGATATCATTGATAAAAGAGTAAAATTAAAAAAGAAGAAAGAGCAAATTAAAAGACAAAAAGAAAAAGAAAAGGAGAAGCGACTTCAAAAAAATCAGTTAGCATTTGAAAAGTGGAAACAGAGTAAAATGAAGACAACAACGGCGAAAAATAAAAGCTTAGAAAATGTTTATGAGAAAGCAAAAAGTACATTTTGGTATCCAACTTGAAAAAAAACCCGCTCTTAAAGGATCAACGCAAGCAAATTACGTCTGGTACTGGACTTTAATCTTTTTCAGCCTAAATCTAAACATTGAACTCTCTATGCAAAATAAATTTATCAAACTAAGTCATATACGTATAACTAAATTGGTAGCATTGCAAGTTGTATGTCCCAGATGTAAAATAGGTATGAATCGTTACATAAATAACAAGAGAGGGAGGCAGCATAAAACATATTTTTAGTTCAAGTTGTTTGTCGTGCATTTGTTGGAATTGAAACACATAGTTACTAATGTAAAAAGGAATAGCCGATTCATTATTTGATGATTTAGACGGACGCTTATAGTATTAAACAAAACTTGTTATTCAATATATATTTAAAAGATATTATGTTTGTCCTTAGTGAAGAAATCAGACATTTTTGATAAACGATATGTGTTTCTGAAATTTTAGTTGTCCTGTGAGATTATGTTCTTTAATTATATGTATGCTATCAGACGAGTATTTCAATGTACTACGTTTGTGTAAATCAGCATTTTATTTCGCACGTTTGATACTGTTTTAGAGATTACAATATTTGTCATTATTTCATGCTATTTTGCATATTTTTTGTGTGTTCGAACGTACTTGCTGGCTTTGTGGATTTCAAATAAATAAGATGATACTAGTACTTTTTGTTTACTTTTATCATAAAGTATTATATACTTGCATGATTATGACTTTTCAACGTTGTGGAAATGTATTTATTCTTCCACACTGAAGTAAATGAATATATTCTAGAGAGGATAAATGATAATAAGTCATTGATTACGGATACCAGTAATTATATTTATTAAATTTTCTTTTGTTAAAAGACCCAATGTCTCCTTCGTAATGTTTCTCGCCCTGTTTTCGTAGTTTCCATTTCTCAAATGCTAGTTTATTTTCATACTGTTGTCTTTCCTTATCAGCTAACTTTTGTTTCAATGCTAGCATTCTTCGCTTACGAATTTTAAGCTTTAACTCATAACGCTCACGCTTTTGTTTATCTGTCATTGCATATGGAGATATATAATCGAAATTCCATTGGAATGATTTGCTCGTTACTTTAGATATTAAAGATGATCTTCTTTTCAATGATTTTATTTTCATATCATCAGTTAATGTTCCTTCGGATCGACTGGATACCTTTGTTGCTTCGTGCATTTCAACCTCTATCGTACTTTGAGATTTGAGATTCAAATCACTGTCATCGCGAGTTATTTCAAAAGCTCTTGGAGCGATATTTTTTCTCTCAAATCTGATCGATTGTAGATGTAAGCCTTCGTCACTCTTTGATTTCCATTCACTCTCCGATTTGTATGTCATAGCTGGATCATATTCTGAGAAAATGTGTTCTGTAGAGTTTAAATAAGGTAAATCTTTCCTCAAAATATTTTCATTTTCAATTACACGTGTGATGGATACTTCACTTTTTATATCCTGTGTTGTTTCACTTTCACAGTTGATTGTCTTTACCAAATCCTCACCAGATGACTTTGGTTCATCTGGTTTGCTCTCAAATGTTTCTGATTCTTCAGTTTGTGTTTGTATCTTATCGGTTTTCACTGAGACAGTCATATCCTCACTTATTTTGTTAGCTTCATATTGTTCCACTTTTTCATTTTCTTTATCAATGTCACCCGCTTCAGTAGTGCTTGCCTCATTGTCAATTTGATAAAACGTTAGTTTAGATTCATCTCTTACGCTTACACCAGACGCACTTATATTTTCGTCTACTTCTGGGATGTCAGGCAATTTTTCGATAAGCGTTTCTAAAATATATGTACATAAATTCAGGTTTACATATTGCTTCTATGTATTGTGAAAAGAAATTCTAAACAAACACAATCTACATTTTAATTTAAGATAAAAATATGGATTGCAACTTAAATGGCACCATAAATTATAACATTATAACAGTTCTACAACAATTGTAACTAATTATTTAAAAAGACGATACACCATATTACATAAGATGAATGAGAAAACCATTTTATTATGCACCCGCATACCGTTTACAATAAAGATTAACAGAAGGGAATATATTGAATATTTAACTTTTAATAAAGTTCTATGTTATGACTGTATTCACCTGAAATCGTTGTTGGCTTTTTTGGAACTTTCTTTGTCTTGTTTGATATTGTATTTTGTCTTCGTTGTTTATGCCATGTCTTTTTCAAGCAGATGACAACTATGATGACGATTGCCGTGATTATAACAATAGCTACTAGAACGATTCCTATTATAGCTCCTGGTGACGTCACATCATAACCGTTTGCAGACTGCACTAAAATATAAATCATATAGCAATCTTTCAGCAAATTATATACCAATGTATATATTGATAAATTAATACAAAAAGCAAAAGGAAAATACGTGTAAATTATCTCATTGCATTAATCATAATTACTTTGTAAAGGTTCTTATGTAATTCAATGAATATTTCAATATCTTGTGTGGATCCATGGAATGGAATGCATTTTTGTTTTAGATCCTGTCTAATAAATTTGAGATCGGGATAAACAAGATTATATATAATACAAAAGTAACTGACTATATCAGACAGTATGCGACAACACACATTTTAATAAACAAATGACATTTCTTTCTGTTAATCGGTAAATTAAAATCATATCAAACGGCTTTGATTAAAAGAGCAAGTAGAGAATATTCATGAGGCATGAAAAAGTGGAGCATCTCAGGAAAATACAACAAAAAAATACAACAACAACAAAAATAAATGTCTACCAGGGCTAGTTGAATTGCCCATTTCATAGTCTATAACATAGTGCCCATATCAAATAAATTCAGTCTTATCCAACTCTTGACAAAGAAAAATATCTTTATCGAAATTTATCTTATTTGGATCTAGTTTACTGGAGGATGGTAATATATCTTATAGCGAAAACGTTAGGTCACCCAGGACGCCTCCGTAATTCAATCATTTTTAAGTTCATGCATGTTCAATTTTCAATTCAGTTACATGCACTTTGAATATAACTTTCAAGAATATTATGTAGTATCAAGTATAAATTTGTTCTTTTTTATTTTTTGTTATCTATCTATTAAAAGATATGAAACTGGTCGAATCTGCATGAATTATATTTTATCAAAGGAAAAAACCATTAGGCATAATTTGACGTACTTTGGTTTTATGTGGCTTACAACTTGTAAATAAAAAAAAATATTTGAGTAATGCTAGGATAAAATGAAGTGCAGAAAATAATAAACATATTAATATAGATCCTTTAAAATTACCTCGGCATATTGGTAAAATATAAATCCACAAAATAATTTTAAGCGTCATTTTTTATTTTAGTTAGTTCTATTTGGGTTTATTTACGTTAGATTCGGTCATACTTTCAAAAGACAAAAGAAGCCAATGAGGCGTGTAAGCTCATACAAGTGATTATTAATACGTGAATAAAAACAAAAAGAAACGTTTAAAGCTGGGTATATCAAGGTACAAAATTTAAGTCGTATCGACATTTTAAGTTTGAAGTTTGTTACTGTTTAAATAATTGTTAAAGGGCTTGAGGTTAGAGGCGGGAGCTAAACAATACAATTGCTATGGCTTAAAAATATCTAAACAAAAATGTATACTGTTTTTAATTTACAATTTTCTTTAAATATTATCGTATATAAGTCAAATGAAAGAACAAACATGAAAATGTGTCTGTGTATTTTAAACTTTTTTTCTTTGTTTTTGGTTGTGTTATTTTTAAAGAATTTAAAGATAAGTTTCTTCCCCTCCGACTGTAACAGAAAATCTCTTTATAATCGTACTTTTTAATTGATATTTTGAGTTAACTAAAAGGTATTCACGGTAAACTTTACACATATGGGTATCACAACACAGTCTGTCAACACAGGGTGAGACCCAAAGTGTCATCTCGGGAAATGAGTTAGACTATCATGTCGTCTGCACAAATTTCGATATCTATTAATATATATAAAAAAACAACCACAACAACAAAAACAATTATAATTGATATTCAACTCAAAGAGAACAAAATTACTTGTTACATCAATACTCTTAACATTCAATTAATGATTGTTAAAAAAGTCAAGCACCGCATAACTAACTGATAAACTTGCAAAATCATTTGTGAAACTAGTTAAGTGAAACTCGCTTGAAACGGGTATTGTATTAGTATGTAAATGAAAAAACTGATGAGCCTAAAATACATTTTATAAAGTAAGGTTTTAGTAATAAGAGACTAATATCATTTTTTGTTTGAAATTCAGACAAACATTTATAAATAAAATCCGAAAATATCTTCTTTGGTAAGTAAAAAAAATATAATTTGTAATCCGTTGGTCCCAAATTTTATTTGATCATTTTAAGTACATCATAATCACATTTCCATTAAATGCTTATTGGGTGCGTTTGCGAACTTATTACTTTGTGATCAAGCTTATAAAAGTTTAAATTTGATAATATTTTGTTACATGTAAATGTCACAAGGTCTTACAATATAACTAAATGCCGTCCATGCATGTAATATAGCATAGGTTGGAACATGTGGGTCTGACACAAATCAAATTACGCATTTATGCGCGTGTCGTTTAATTGTAATATAATTTATAACTGCAATAATCTATCATTTCTTTTAAATGTTGAAAGAACAAGGTTAGAGAGATAACAGCAAGGAACATCGGCTAAGGATACCAGTGTCTATTGCTATCAAATTTCATTCTGTGAATGGACCATATGTCTTGTCTATAATGTTTAAAAATTTTGTCATGTTTCTGTCGTTTCCATTTCTCAAATGCTAAATGATTTTCATACTGCTTTTTCTCTTTCTCGAAAAACTTTCTTCTCAATGCTTGTTTTCTTTGCTTCAGAGTTTTGAGTTTTAACTCATTATTTTCGCGCTTTTGTTTATCTGTCAATGCATACGGAGATGCATAATTGAAATTCCACTGAATCGACTTCTTTGTCACTTTGTATTTTAAAGATGATCTTCTTTTCAATGCATTTTTCTTCTTGTCGTCTAGTAATGTGCCTTCAGAACTACTTGTTATCTTTGTTTCTAACTGTGCGTCAATTTCTATCTTACTTTGAGATTTGAGATTCAAGTCACTGTCATCTCGGGTACATTCAAAATCTCTAGGAGCGATGTCATTTTGTTTACATCTTATACATGCTAAATGGAGACTATCGTCACTTTTTGATTTCAATTCTCGTTCCCTTTTGTATGTCATAGCCGGGTCGTACTCAATGACAATATTTTCTGTAGAATTCAAATACGGTACATCTTTCCTCAAAATACTTTCATTTTCAAACATACGCGTAATGGATACTTCACTTTTTATACCCTGACATGGGTCGTTTTCCAATCTGCTGTTTTCGATAAAATCCTCTCCAGATGGACATGGCTCTTCTTTTATCTCAGAAGATCCTGGCTCTTCAGATTCTGACTTTACTCTTTCTATTTCTATTGAACATTTTTCTTGTGTCTTGTTAACTTTATCTTTGTCTACTTTTTCTTCGTCACTTTCTACTTTTTCTTCGTTACTTTCACCCATTTTATCATCTCTTGACACTGTATCTTTTTGAAAAAGTGTAACTTTAGATTGATCTGTTATGCTCGTATAAGACACTCCAGTAGTTTCGTGTTCTTCTTGAATGACTGGTAATCTTTCAATTGGTGTGTCTGTCAATATACATAATTTATTTATATTTGAATGTTTAAATTGATGTTTAAAAAAAAACGAAATATTCAACGTGTTAATCTCAAAGGATGATTAAAATTCAGGATTTGGAATCAGAAATCACTTAAAAATGCATTATTATACAGGTGGCCACAAAAATTAAAATAGAAATCTTTAATACTATCAATTATATATATTAGTGCGATTTGCGAAAGAACGCGTTTTAATTACTGAGTATAATATCGCAATGAAAATATTTAATGCATATTTTTACTAGTAGTTGTTGTTTCCCGTTGATGAACAGTTCTAGTTGTGCTTGATTTTGTTTCTCTGCTTTCTTCTACTTCTTCTACTTCTTCGTCTTTGATGTATTTTACTTTGCCAATTCTTCTTCAAACATATGACAATTATGATGACAATTGCCATTATTATAACAAAAGGAATTAGAACTATTCCTATTATTACCCCTACTGACTTTGCGTCATAGCCGTCTGCTGTCTGCACTAAAATGAAAATCATATTTTATGTCCCGCTAATGAATAATACAAAATTGATATTTTTTTAAAGATGTACAATGTATCAAAACTCATCCATAGATCATTGGTTTGAACCTCATATGAGCCTCAACCATGCTTCTCCATTTGATAGTTTCAAAAGATCTGATCGAATAACTGTAATCGAGATAATATAAAAACAAATTGTTATCATGTTTGCTTTATACATGTTATAGTGATACATTCCGTCCATATATAGTGTATTTCGCTTACGAATGTGCGACCGGAAACAAAATAGATTATAAAATTGATTTTATTGGTATTAACCGGCATTTAGTACTATCTTTTTGATAAACAAAAGGCGTTCTTTCTTTGCGTACTTACGTGCACGAAAAGTAACTCCAAAATTTACCGCAAGAAAAAGCGATAACGACATTAACGGCAGAAAAATAGACTTAGTTTTAATTCCAATATTATTCCACCCATATCTTTCTGAATAATGCTTTTAATGACAACCAGCATTTTATGTACTGGCGCAAAACAGTGACATCTTTGAAAATAGATTACGAAATGGAAACGCAAAGCGCGGACCAGTATAGAAAAAATATTTCTGACACTTTTCAATGCGATTTATAGGAAATGCATCTTTTAGAAAGTATTTACGTTAATGTTAAATATAGTAAGATACTTTTAAATTTGTAAATTTGATACTTATGGATGCAAGATTTATTAAATACATATTATTTATCAATACAAATTTTAAAAGATACTTTCTTTTAAATTACCTAGACTTATCCGTAACATATACATGATTATCCATATATTAATTTTTTGTGTCATGCTTTTAAATTATTTTATCGACAATTCATTAAATCCAATGTATTAACGAACGAACTTCCGTGTCACCAAATAGTATAATAACTTTTATAAGACAAAAGTATTCAATGAGGTGTGTAATCTTATACAAGTTGTTAACTAAATATACTGATTCCCTGCTAAATTTCAAAAATGGACTTGCTTAACAATTAATCTAGGAAGACTTCCTCCTTTGTAAGTGTATATAGAAAACAAGATTGTTAAAATCTTTTCAAAAGTTGAAGAACAAGCATGATGCATTGATGAATAACGATTAAGAAATTGTTGATGTTAATGATTATTTGTAAATTGATGGTCTTTTGGGGGTTAGATATTAGATGATCTTAGTGTTCGTTTTATGGAACTATTCTCAGACTGATATTTCAAATGTAAAAATGTAAATTGAAATATCAATACATTCAAATGGGGTTTAATGGTGCAATGAAATACTTATTGCTTCTTTAAAAACGAATTTTCTTTAGATAAATGTCTTAATTATATTTGATTAACAATGTACTTATTGAAATGCATTATGAAGGTTTATACACTCTGTCCATGGCTTGTTGATATAAGACAAACATCAAACTATTGATTAACACGATTTAAAAGTGCACTAAATGTAGTATGACTTTGGTTGAAAACGGTGTGTCTATATATTAAAACAATGAGAATGAAATACCTACCAAAATATTACAATTCTTAGTCAACTATACAGCAATTTAAAGCATATGCTGAAATGTAAACATTAATGTACACTAAACAAACTTGTTAAGTATACATATCTTGCTACTTGCAAGTGCGGACATGTAGGGTTAAAGGATGACGATAGTATCGATAATAACAAAATTTACTATGACTGAAGTACATATTAGCAAATTTAAATTTGCAAAGTATGGTCATTCGCGTAAATAACAATGAAAAGAATCATTTTGATACAATAACTCTCCATCCTATTAGTAAGATATTGCACTGCACTCGTCATATTGGATTATAAATGCAATTGTTATATTGGATGATAAATGCAATCCATATAAATATAAATATATTAATATGTTTTGCAATTTATGCATTTACAAAAAAAGAAACTTACGTGGAAAATCATGAAAACATCTGTGTAATCATGTAACATAAGTTATTATTAATAGAAAAACTAAACACAACAACCTTCATTAATTTTATGATGATATATTGGAAAGTGTACACGGAATATAAAAAGGCAATATAATGGAGTCAAGTTTTCTAAATAATGACTCTTTTCATTAACAAACAAGATCCCCAAGATTGTCCAATATATTATACATTAAAAGATTATTTTCCACTCTACAGAAATGATTTTGCACGGCAGTATTCATA